ACGCACGCACGCACACGCACACACACACACACGCACACGCACACACGCACGCACGCACACGCACGCACGCACACACACACGCACGTGTGCGCGTACGTACATACATACGTACGTACGTACGTACATACATACATACATACATACATACATACTACATACATACATACATACGTACATACATACGTACGTACGTACATACATACATACATACATACATACATACATACATACATACATACATACATACATACATACATACATACATACATACATACATACATACATACATACACACGAACATGCGCATACCAATTTAGACTTATTAAGGCGGCGCGCACCGTTGTTGTCGCAAATTAACGAACAGCCTTCCCGTTTCGCCGTATCAATGAGTAATCCACGCTCGCGTCAAGTTTGAGAGGTCAATTCTTCATCTTTGATCTAAAACTGTCGTGCAGTGGAGATAGCATTCTTGGCTCGACAAGTGTTGTGGAGCGAAACGCGCGTGGAGAAAAATACTGTGAAGAAAAAAGTACTGTGCAGAAAAACGCCCACGCCTGCCTCGCTCGCACGTGGTGCGAGCGCACCGAGTGCGATATATTGACCTGACCCAAATGAGCGGCTCAAATCGGGCTTCGATGATGGATAGAGTACGGGCCACCGGCAGGCCTGTAATTCGGGTCAACGGGAGCAACAGTAATGTCTGCCACTCTCTCCCTCTCATACATACACTCACTCGCTGAAGCACGCACTTGTTGCCACCTGTAGGTACCTTTTGATAGTCGAGTGCATCTCTCGGTAGCTTTTTTTTTTTTTCCTAGTGAAGAAAATGAGTGCGGGGGTTGGCATCCATGCAGTATGGAGGCGCCGGTTGACCTCGAAATAAATGGAGTTATCAATCAAGACGGCTAACTTCGATAACTGCGTGATGTTGCAGGCGTCAAACTTACACTTATCTCAAGATGTTGTTGAGCAATGGGAGGCGGCGCTGCGCAGAGCTAACTCCGATTAATATGTAGGGTTCAACGCCCCAAAACCAACATATGCTTATGAGACGCCGTAGTGGAAGGCTCTGGAAATCCCGACCTCCTGGGATTCTGTAACATGCACCCAAATCTGAGCACATGGGCCTACAACATTGCCGCCTCTATTGTAAATGCAGCCACCGCAGCCGGAATACGATCCCGCGACCTACAGGTCAGCAGCCGAGTACCTTAGCCCCTAGAGACCACCACGGCGGGGCGCAGAGCTAACTCTGACTTGCAGGCCAGGCTTTTATCAAGAGAAGCAAACGCGCCTTCCAGCCACAGTTACTCAAGGTGGCATAAACACGAAGCCACACGCTCTAATACAATCTAAAATAAAGTTTTTGTGTACTCACCATGAAATAGTGCATTTAAACATTGAAAGGTAGCTTGGTATCTTAGGCAGAATTAAGTACTCGTATCCATTTACCTACGAGTGGTTTCTGTGTTCCTTGTGGAAGGTGCCTAAAGGGATGTTTCAAACTAGGTGAAGAGGTTGCAGATACTGAAACACATTATAGGTACTTAAATCGTGCCACGTCGTATTTTTGAGGAACAGTAAAAGTGGCGTAATTGTGCGTATATGCTGCAAAATATTATTCAGTACGCGAAAGCCCAGCCACGCTACATAATGATGGTGAATTAACGTGTCAGTGTAACCATCTTCCGAAATAGCCGTTGAGCTTTGCGGGATACCCTTGTCCACATTGAAGAAAAAAAAAGAGAGAAGACCAAAAAATGCAGTGCAAACGTCTACAAACATTCACGCAAGAGGAACGACCGCATGCAGATGTCTGTATAGCAGAAACGCTAATATTACATCGCCTGTAATACGTCACCATGAGCGTTGCTTCACGCAATATTTCTTCTATTGTTTTCTCGTCTTCTTTTAATACTGCGGTAGAAATTATGTAGACACACCCGGTGGCTTCTTGCCGTCGGCGCTGCCATGCTGTGATCTATATGTGTAGGTGTAAACAGTTCAGTAGAAAATTAATCACAGCGTGTGACCCCTCACTTCGCTGCACGATTCATCAAATCACTCGGCCACCACACATACGTCGTCTTACATAAAAACGGTAGCATTTTATACACGGTGTGCCTGAAAAGTAGTATACGGATGTTTTTCCCCCACAAAAATGCGGAGGAGGGCATGTTACTAAGCTGGTTGTGTGGTTGAGGGTCTTAGCTACCAGCGCACCATTTGCCAGTCGTCTTCTGGTGAACCTCTTTCGTAGTGTCTTGTAATCATGACAACGTATCGTTTGGCCACGCTTCACGGTAGGATGCTGCGTCAAACGGGGTGAACGATTAGTGTTACCCAGGACATTATCAAGGTAGCTTATGGCAGCGATGGCATGGGTCAACGAAGTCTGAGTAGAGCAATTTACTTCCAAATGAAAGAAAGTTAAAAATGAGCAATAATCAGACCACCTTTTAAACGTAAAACATCACAGTTTCGCTAAAGAGCGAATCAATCAGCGCGATAGCAACATATTGGAATGTTATACGAAGCAAGGCTAGCATTTTTAGGAGCAATATTATTTGTAGTAAAAATGCGCTTGCTAAGTAACTAAGTTTCCTGCCACGCAGTCAGGTCTACACAACACGGTTTGTGCACAGTGACGGCGTTGATATACAAAGCGAGGCAGGTAGTCAACTCATTGAGATCCCATCTCACATAACTCTACAAAACGCTGGTGTAAGAGAACGCCCCTGCTCCAGTTACCCTCTTGGAAGCGTTTTTCGCGGTAAGAGCGCAGCCCGTAGAAGCTCCCGCCTGCTGTGAAGGCACAAGGCGCGCGCTGATCGTTGCCGCGATAGCGCGGCGACCACGAGAGCCCCCTCCCCCTTGTTCGCTCACGAGATAAGCGCGCGCGCAGACAACCTCGGGCGGAAAGACGATGTTAGCCCCGCAGAAAGAGGAGGCTAGCGCATCCTTCCATATATATATATATATATATATATATATATATATATATATATATATATATATATATATATATATATATATATATATATATATATGTATATATATATATATATATACGTGAATGACTGCGGCAGCGGCAGCGGCGATGGCAAGAAACCAGCTGAGACTGTCCATATAATTTCTTTGGCAATAAAGAGTCACGACAATGCGCCGAGCCACGTCAGCTTTACTCTCATCGAATTCCCAACCAAAGATAGGTTAACACAGCTCTCCCAGAAAGCAACTCTTCAGATCATACGTCGCTAGTTCAAGCTTCTTTCTGCTACCCTGACGAAAAAAAAAATCATCAAAGGACGGTACCGCGGCTCGGTCCAGGCCATTCAGAAGGTCATAACGAGCGAGGTGACGAGCATTCCAGTTTCTGCGTCCCAGAGAACCGTAAGTGATTGACTAAGTCGCTGAAAACGCTGTGTTGATTCAGTCAGAATGGGCATATTTTGAAAGCTACTCAGTTGGTTTGCTTTAACTCTCAATACTTCTTTTTATTAAAAAGAAGCTCAGTCCTACTACTTTTCTGACAAACCCTGTGTACATAATTTACCGCTGGTATACTGCCTGTACACTCGGAGAATATTTAAGAGGGTGCCTTTTTGTCCCAAAACCAAATCGTCATCTATCATGTGTTCATTTCTTTGCACTATCGCCGCGCGCCCGGCACTTTCAGTTCACGAACGACATGCGCGTTTTCAGCGTGACATAGCTTTCTTGGTAGGAAAGTGGTTAGGTAGTTTTCAAGAAAAGGAAGCTTAGGCAAGGCGGATGACGATATTTTTTGTAGGACAAAAAGTGACACCCTTTATTCGATATTTTTTAGAGTGTACCTATCTGAGGTGCTTCCACGTGCCAGAAGCTCTTTACTATTTTCCGCGAGATGGTGAAAAGGGTCGAAGGGTGCGCTTGCAACGGCACCGTCGCGTGGTGTTTTGTCGTGAGCCGGAGAGCATCAGTACTTTTACTTAAGTGACATGATCGCCTGTGCTCTCGAGCTTATTATCCCTTGGTGGCTTATGGCTTTGTGCGTGCTTTGCTCTCATGGTGCTGTTTGCATCGAAGCTACAGAAAACTCGAAGATCCCAGCGCTGGCTGCACCGGACACACTTACCAAAAGAGTGAGCTGATGTTTGGATTTTGAGATGTGAACCAGCCTACGATCGGGGCTTGTTCCTTGTCCGATGTCGTAGCCACGCTAGTTCACGGAGCACCCGGAGAGTCAGTAGATGGTGCTGCGGTAGAGTAATAGCTCCACTCCGGCACGTGCTTCGGTATGAGTGGAGAGCGCTAGCGGCGCTGCAGCTCTGCAAAATAAAAACCCTTACTCCCCCTCTCTCAGCTTAGTACTATGAATGAAGACAGGTGCATTAGTGTGGCGGAGGCGAGGATTGGCAAAGTGGCTGTGTGCGCAACCATGAACCACGTGTGCGCAACCATCATGTCTACGGTGATGTATAGAGAGCATCTCTTTACAAAAAATTTACGTCGACTCATGGCTGCTTCGCATACTACTCTGGGTTCTTTTGCGGGATGATGTGCGCGTTTTTTTTTTCATTCATTTATGAACTTCTATTGTCATCAGTACTTATTTTATAGTGGTGTTACGTGGGAATTTTGAATCGCGATCAGCGCCGATCATGCCGCAACTCAGCTAAGATGCATCACGGCCGGACTCGACGCTCCTTCCGCACGCTCCTTACGGCCTTCTCAATACCGGCGCCGCGCATATATTTTTTTCTGACGCGTAGTGCGGCGGCTAACCGCACGAGGGCAGCACCACCTCACTGTAAGCTCCGCCGGCTCCCCGCGCGTCCCCGTGCTTCGTTCTCCACGGTGTCACCAATTCCTACAAGGTTCCTTGTGCCTACTACTTCACGAAGCAGCTAAGCGGTAGGGACTTATTTGCATGGACCAAAGAGGTAATCGCTGCAGTGGAATCGTGTGGATTCCTTATTGTCAGAATCGTGACGGACAACTACTCTGCAAACGTAACCATGTTTACGCACATGGGTAATGGAAATTCGTCAACTGTTGTCACTCACCCACACGATCCAAATAGGGTCATATTTCTGAGTTTTGACCCTTGTCATGTGCTCAAGAACGTGCGAAGCCAATTCTTGGAACGTGAGCTGCATGACAGCATTGGGGTCATCTCTGGAACGTTTTTCCTAAAGCTGTACGACTTTCAGAAGGACAAAACCGTTGAACTGGCTCGAAACTTGACCAGAAAACACGGTTTTCCATCAAACTTGGAAAAGATGAACGTGCTTCGGGCAGTTCAAGTATTTTCTCCGCAGGTAACTGCTGCGTTGTGTCATCTCAAAGAGAACCGTGGTGGGGACCCCAGTCTCTACGGTTACAGGGAAGCCAGCCAAACCATTTTCTTCATGAACATGATGAGACAGTGGTTCGACGTTCATGACACAACGTACAAAGGGAGTGACCACAAGAGGCCAATATCTAACGAGGATGACCCTAGACTCGTGTGGCTTGAGAAGGAGTTCACCGACTACATAAAAGAGGTACAAGAGGCTTCACTTGCATCGGGAGAAGGTGCATTCACAGAGCAAATGTTTCATGCTTTGTTGTTCACGTCGAGGGCCACAGTGGACGCAACACGGTTTCTTTTAAGAAGGGGTGTCAAGTACGTCTCTACCAAGAATTTTAACAGTGATCCTGTGGAGGCACTCTTTGGCCGGCTAAGGTCCATGTGTGGGGGCAACGACGTGCTAGATGCGCGTTCAGTGACAGTAGCCCTGGACAACATTGTAAAGGGCAAAGCCCTCTGTTCAAAGCAAATGGAAGTGGAGGATGCTGATGCAGAGGAGCTAGCGCTGAGTGTGCCACAAGAAGTGCTTGCAGACCTCGAGAACCTGAAGGGACAGCTGTGTGATCCATCGCCGTCTGTCAGGTACTCTGGTCAGGTGTACGTTGGTGGATACATCGTGAAGCTCGTCAGTGAGTTTGAGTGTGATGCTTGTGTTACGATGCTGACGACTACGAACAAAGCTGATCCTTTGTATGTTCTGTTGCACAGCCAGGACAAAAGTGCACTCCACTACCCAAACCGTATGTTTTTGACACTGTTGGACAACATTGTTACTTTCTTTGAAAAAGCTGCTAGCAAACTTCCGCGTACAAAAGTGCATGAAGTGCTGCAACTTCTAATTACCCCACACCTCGAACAATCACCCGTCCTCCTCTGCCCAGAGGGTGTAGACAGCAGCCACGCAAGGCGCGCAGCTCGTTTAATTGCGGACAAATTCATCAGACTTCTTCTCGTTAACTACACCAAGATGGTGAGCGATAGAAATGAAAAACCACTTGCGTATGTGCACAAGCCGTCTAGAAAATATTTCAGACTGTGATGAGTATGTCATGGAGGTTCGCTTTATTTGTACCATGCATTTGTGTTTGTGTTAATTTGTATTGCTAGCGTGGGTTTGAAAGAAAAAGGTATTTGTGCTCACCTCGCACAGAAATTGTTTTTTTATTTGTGTTCTAGTCCACCCTACGACAAAATAAATATTGCTTTTTCTCTCTGAATTTTGTGCGCTGTAATGGATTACTGTTGCTTGTGACAACACGCGTGTGCGAAAATCCGGGAAAGCTGCCGGAATGGTTGCGACTGGGTAAGCGGTGCTCTCAGAGGTCGACTATACCATTTTAACCTCATCACATGCAACGACCGAGCTGTATTGTGTGGATAAAACGTTCATCTTCAAGAATTCAGGCGCCGCAGTTGGTTCTGTTCCTCGTACTCAGCGCTGTTTATGGCCATAACGCTGTGGCGCGCACACTGCGCCCGTGAACGCGCTTGGAGGCGGCGGAGCAACAGTGGTCTAGCAGCGCCACCCCGAACTTGCGGCGGCAGGCCCCAATGCGAAGGCCGTAAGGGGAGCGCCGGAGAAGGAGTCGAGTCCGGCCGTGGATGCATATGTAGTCGGTATATGTCAGGCGTCCGTCGGCGTCCGCGCCGCCACCGGACGCCTGACATCGTCGGTGTGAATATAGCAGAGAAACGGCGGCAGCGTAGAGACATATGGTATGTGAAAGTGATATGTGCAGCCATCACACTTTCTCGTATGAACTTTCTTGTCTTTACAACTTTTTTTTTTCGTGCGAGCGGGTAATTTTTTGTCGTTATCACAATAGTAATTTCATTACAAAATGTTTCGTGCAAAGCTTGTGCATAATGGTATATGAACCATGCAAAGTAGTTTCTCTCCATTTAAACAATTCAAACTGGTCTTTACTAGTTTTCTGCAGCAGGTTTTATCTCTCCGCTCTCACTCTCTCTCCTATAGCAACATCTGCGGGCGTGCGCGCCTATCCTCGCTCCTAGCAACCACAGAGGGGTGGGTGGGGGGTGATTCTTTCGGGGGGATAGGTGGAAAGGCAAGGAAATAGGGTGTGGAGTGCACGATAACTGTGTCTCATGTGAGGTAGTGCGGGTGGAGTAGCGGAGTGTGAGGGGAGAGGAGGAGCATGCTCTGGCGTGCGAGGGCGCTCACATTGCGGGAGCTTGGTGGAGCCATAGAGTTTCTTAATAATACACTAGAGGAAACTCTGGCGCTAGTGTCTATGGGAGCTGCAACGCACGAGGCTACAGCGAGCATGGGAATGATGGGTTGTACGCGGGTTTGCCTAATCTTCGTACTTCTGGCTTCGTTTGTGTTCGCGTGGCTTGGAGCTCATTTGCTGCGAAACAAAAATCAGCAAATGTTCAGATGTTGCGCTTCACCACCATAATATTTTAGCCTTACCATTTAGAATCGGGCAACGAAGCTTAAAAGGGTTCATTCTTTCCTTCAAATCAAAACCGAGAGACAGCCACAATCGAAGCCACAAGTGCGATTCGCCGCCCGCAAGTACGAAGACTATAGGCTAATCCATGTACTACCCATCATTTCCATGGTCGCTGAACGATCGCAGTACTAGAGTCCCCTCTAGTTAATTTTAGGAAACTCTATGGGCGGAGCCCCCGCTTCTGTGGAGGCAGTGTAAGAGAGAATAGGTGCAGTGGTTCGCCGCTCCTTCTTTCGCCGATCGCTCTCCCTCCTTTCTGCACCGCACTCTCCCATACGCTCCCTCGTGCGTACATATAAATTGAGTGAAGCACGCACCTCACTCTCAACCGTGAACTGGCTGATGAATGTGTGATTAAATAGTTACGGTACAAATCCTCATCTCGTCGTTAATTCACGCCATCAAAATTACTACGCCATGTGCTCCCGGTGAAAGAAATCCCTTCACATTTCTTCCCGATTGCCTTTGGGGAGGTGGGTCAAATGTTTTTCTATTTCAGTAGGTAACTAACGACCCACTAATCAAGGCTGCAAAGCTAATTTGCTTGAGCGCGAGACGTTTTTTTTTTTTTTTTTGACTTGGTGGTGGTTTCGCAGCACTCAGTCACAGTTTAAGTTTGCCGAATTAATGCATGACGCCTGCCGAACGTGACTACTACTTGTGTGGGAAGCGCAGCCTGCAAAATAAACGTGATGCTCGAACTTGACACCAGCTTAAATTTTTTAAGTGTTTCGTTGTCTCATTTGTAAGTGTTCAGCTTGTGTTCCGCCTTCCACGCACTGCCGCTGCTCAACGTTAATTATTGAAGTACTTACTGGTTGCTTATCTGTTTGCCGAGCAGCACTTGGTGCACTATGGCCACAAATACGCATTCCGATGTTTTACTTATTCAATTCTATGTGAGACGTAGGGCAGTTGATAAGAAATGTCGTTAAGCAAAGCTACGTGGCTGTTAGTGCTTTTAGCACTGGGATGACGTTTCACCCGTTAACGCTTGCCTTTATTCCAGAAACTGTAGGAAATAAGGTAGCAGTTAAGCACAGAGCTTTTTTTTTTTCGATTGATTACCTGCAGGACAGTGATATATCGAAGGTGCAGTTATATTGCGGGGCTGCGTGTTTTTTTTTTTATTCAAGAAAGAAGAGCGTCTGTTAAGTATATCAATATATAAGTACACCGCGCAGACGCTCATGGTAATTCAAAGGTTGGACACGACAATACCATGGCATTACGGCAATGCACGTCAACCGGATTAATACTGATCCACAGAGTTTTTTATTGCGAACCTAAATCAACGTACAAGGCTGTTTAATTTCACTCCAAGTGCAAATAGTGTCCGGTAACTCGAGCTTGTCACTTTCGTGGCATTTAATTTTCTGCTCTTCCGATGAGCCTATTCTGATGAGGCAACTAAAAAGGGAAGGGCGCTACAATACACCTCCCTCCCCCTGTAGGGGAACTCGGCACATCATTATGTCAATAACTTTCACACGCATACAAACCCACCGTGGCTAGCAGACGACGAAGGGAGCCATCCACCAACGTTACTAGATACTTTTTTCAGTTTGCAAACTGCGGCGCCGCGAGTGTCACCCTTCCCTGTACCGGTCAAAAAGCCGCAAGCGCGCCCCCTCTCGGCGGTGCCGTCTGACAACGGCGGAGTTACTGCAGTTGTGTTTTTATGCCGGGTGCTGCTTTGTTGCTTTCAAGTGTGCTTCGTAGTCATCGCTGTCACTGAGTCCCAGCAAGATTTATTTCGACGTAACTCGCGTAGTGTGTGCTCTGGCTGCAACTTACTACGGTAGCGATCAACGTGGTGCCCGGCGTGGCACCGACGCTGTCAGCGTTGGCGTGATCTGCATGGTGCCGGGTGTTTTTTAATGTCTTCAACTCAGTCATCGCTTTCCCTGTGAGCTACACAGCTCACATGTGTCATGTGACGGTTCTTGAATGTGAGAAAACATGCCTCGCTGCTTTGTGACTGGTTGCCGAAGTGGGTACGATTCGACGAAATACGCGGCCGAAAAGAGACATTTTTTTCAAGCCTCCCGCTGAAAATTCATAAAGGAAAAGCTGCTAAAGATCACTTGTGAAACGTCCAGAGAACCTGAAGAGCAGGATGGCTTTGGAAATTTTAACCACCTGGGGTTTCTCTAACGTGCACCTGAATCGAAGTGCATAGCCCTCTAGCATTTAGACTTAATGCTGTGGCCCACTGTCAATGGTTTTTTTTTTTTACATAGGCAATCGAATTTTAAAGAACAGGAACGCAAAAGAGCTGTATGAACAGAAGTCCCGCAAGATTCGGGCATCGCGCTCACGTCTCTGCCGTGTGGCATCGCCTTAGCGGCTCAACTGGTGATTTACTTGCACACTCGTAATAACCTTCGCTCACCCTCTCGGGAAATAACTCCCATTACACAAAATTAACCGCGTAAATTCCGTTTAACATTGCGCGAAGGCTCCGTTACGATGCGGCGACCGGTCAAATGGCGTCGGAAGCGCCACCTAGAGAGCGGGAAACGAAGGGGGCCGCGTTTCGCCGCCGCATCCCGGCGGAGTTTGCAAACTGAGGTAATCTAGTAACGTTGCCATCCACAATCATGGCCTCCGAGATGGCGTTCCGTGGGAGGCCATGCCCTCTGGTAATACTTCAACCAGTAGCCACCAGGCGGCAACTCAGGTTGATCTCGAAGCCAGTAGGAATGATCGAATAACTATTTTAATCTACTAATTATTAGCCATTGACCAGCTTAGCCATCAATTGCTATCGCTGTGGCCTTTCTCGATTAATCTGAAAATTCAGCAGGCACTTGGAAAAATTTACAAAGCTTGAACTAAGCCGCGCACTGCTTGAAATAGCGAAAGACGATTCTGAAGACTGATCTGGTTGATTATATAGGTTGTTGCTAGGCCTTAGCTACAGGTGATGCTAGACTTTTTTTTTTCTACGTTGATTATCAGCACAGAGAGGCTTGAGTTCAATAACAAACAGACACGACACGAATGTCAATACTTCAGAGACAGAAACTCGTGCTGAATCCGAGTGTTCGTGCCTCTCACAGACCTATGGACATGCCGTCGTGGACGTAGGCCTTCGCTCTCTTTGCGGTTTCCTCGCACCGGCCGTTGCCTTTCCCGTTTCTCCGTATTCCCTCCTTGTATGCCTCGCGGTCTTCGGTTCACCACCATTGATATAGCCACTTGTTGGACTTGTAATTTTTAGTAGACCAGTGGTGAGAAGCGTGGTTTACCCAATTTCTGTGGCACATACACGTTTATGATGATTATAGTTTTTTTTTCACGGGTTTGTGGGAACGCCTTTGATTTGTGGTGTAGTTCTACACGCTGCAGTGAATTTAGTGTCCGTCTCTCCCCTACTTCTTTCCTTCTTTTCCATATTTTTCATCTTTGTTGTCACGTTCACTTATCCCCCAGTGTATACATATGTGGTAGCCAACCGGTTGTCTTTCTGGTTAACCTCCCTACCTTTCTCCCTTTTGTGCTACCCCGCCTGAGAAGGAATGGTTGGCTAAAGAGCGTGTCACCGTTAAAAGTAGTTACGTTACAATTTGCATTGGAGTACGATTTAATTGAATATTTCCATAAACAGGAAACGAGATGCTGACTGCCAGCCACTCTCTTATCACTCACAGGACGTCGATGGCTGGGGACCCTGGGGCAGCTGGAGCTCCTGCTCGAGGACGTGCGACGGAGGCGTTAGCAGTCGATCCCGGCGATGCCTAGTCCGCGGCGGCTGTGTGGGCGAATCCACCAGAACGCGGATCTGCAATATGCAGGTTGGTGATCTTCGGTGGGAATACACCGGAGAAACGGCGGCAGCGTTGAGACATATGCAATGCAAAAGTGACATGTGCAGCCATCGCATTTCTTGTATGTACTTTTATTACTTTGCAAATTGTTTCTTGGTGCAAGCGTATAACTTTTTGTCGTTATTGCAATATTCTTTTCGTTACAAATGTTTCGTTCAAAGCTTTTTGCATAATGATACATGAACCGTGCATACTATAGTTCCTCTCCATTTAAACAATTCAAACTACTCTTAACTAGTTTTTTGACAGTTTTACTCACTAATTTATAGAGCACACGTTTATGTATTATTTGTTATTTCCTTCGCAATAACATTTTATACCTTGCTTGTGTGCTTAAGAGACCGAAGCGTTGTCAGCTTTTGCAGCTTTTTGTTTTGTTTAGTCCTCCCCGTGTTCATCGTGGAGAAATAAGTTGCTTTGATTGATTGGCTAATTGACTGACCGGTTGGTAGACTGATTGAGTAATTGATTAGTTGATTAGTTGCTTGAATGAAATTTCGCGCGGTGGTGAAAGGAATGGTAAGCCACATGTTTCACGGCACATCACAGTTATCGTCACAGGTAATGTTTAGGAACACGTTTTCTTTAGAACATGATTCTGAGGAGGCTCCAGCTGTTTTTTACGACGAATACCTTCGCAAAGTTGACCTTCCCTAAGAGAGATTAGAAAAAAAAAAACTTGAAAAGTACGTGCTGTCAAAACACATGAACACGACAACCACCAAAGTGCCGATTCAATGGCAAACAGCAACTGTGTGCGACCGGCATTTCGGGTATTCACCTTCGAATCAGCACTCGGAACAGAGTTTCTGCGTACGTTGTTGGTGCGGAAAGCCTGACGTCACCAGTTATTTATTTCTCTTCGCGATTTATTTCTCTTCGCGAACCTGAACTTGGCAACGTTTAACGCTAGAACCTTATCTAGTGAGGGAAGTCTAGCTGTACTATTCGAGGAGCTAGGGGGTGTTAAATGGGATATAATAGGGCTCAGTGAGGTTAGGAGGACAGATGAGGCCTATACGGTGCTACAGAATGGGCACGTCCTTTGCTATCGAGGCTTGGCTGACAGAAGAGAACTGGGAGTGGGGTTCCTAATTCACAGAAACATGGCTGGCAACATAGAGGAATACTATAGCATTAATGAAAGGGTGGTAGGTATCGTAATTAAACTGAATAAGAGATACAAGATGAAGGTGGTACAGGCGTACGCGCCTACATCCAGCCATGATGACGCTTCAGTTGAAAGCTTCTATGAAGATGTGGAATCGGCAAGGAGTAAGGTAAAAACACAGTATACAATACTGATGGGAGACTTTAATGCAAAGGTAGGGAAGAAGCAGGCTGGAGACCAGGCAGTAGGAGATTATGGCATCGGTACTAGAAACGCCAGAGGAGAGCTACTAGTGGAATTCGCCGAACGCAATAATTTACGGATTTTAAATACCTTCTACCGAAAACGAGGAAACCGCAAGTGGACATGGAGGAGCCCTAATGGCGAAAATAAGAACGAAAAAGATTTTATGATGAGTGCACACCCAGGCATCGTGCAGGATGTGGAAGTGGTTGGCAAGGTACGATGCAGTGATCATAGAATGGTACGGTCTCGAATTCGCCTAGATTTGAGAAAGGAACGACAGAAACTAATACGCAAGAAGCCAATCAATGAGCTAGCACTGAGAGGGAAAGTACAGGAATTCAGAGTCCCGCTTCAGAACAGGTACTCGGCTCTTAGTGAGGAAACCAACCTTGGCATAGATACAATGAATAATAATCTGACGAGTATCATTACGGAGTGTGCAGTGGAAGTTGGAGGCAGGGTAGTTAGACAGGACACTGGCAAGCTTTCCCAGGAAACGAAGAATATCATTAAGAAGCGCCAAATCATGAAAGTCTCAAGTACAGCAGACAAAATAGAACTGGCAGAGCTTTTCAAGTTGATTAATAGGCGTAAGGTATCCGATGTAAGAAGGTATAACATAGAGAGAATTGAAAACGCTCTGAAAAATGGAGGAAGCGTCAAAGCAGTGAAGAGGAAACTTGGGATAGGCAAAAATCGGATGTATGCACTAAAGGACAAAGAGGCCAAAATAACTACCAATATGGATAGGATAGTTGAAATAGCGGAGGAGTTTTACAGAGATCTGTACAGTAGCAGGGACAACCACGACTTTAATACTATAAGAACTAGCAGTAACCCAGATGACACCCCACCAGTAATGATAGAAGAAGTCAGAAAAGCTTTGGAGAGCATGCAAAGAGGCAAAGCTGCTGGTGAGGATCAGGTAACATCAGATCTGCTGAAAGATGGAGGACAGATTGTGTTAGAAAAACTAGCCACCCTGTTTACGAGGTGTCTCCTGATGGGAAGAGTACCAGAGTCTTGGAAGAACGCTAACATCATCTTAATACATAAGAAAGGAGATGACAAGGACTTGAAGAATTACAGGCCGATTAGCTTGCTCTCTGTAGTATACAAGCTATTTACAAAGGTAATTGCTAACAGAGTAAAGAAAACATTAGAGTTCAATCAACCAAAGGAACAAGCAGGATTTCGAACAGGCTACTCAAGAATCGACCACATTCAGTCTATCAATCAGGTAATAGATAAATGCTCAGAATATAACCAACCACTATACATAGCCTTCATAGATTACGAGAAGGCGTTTGATTCAGTAGAAATATCAGCCGTCATATAGACACTGCGGAATCAGGGCGTAGATGAAGTATATATAAACATTCTGAAAGAAATCTACAGGGGATCAACTGCTACTGTAGTGCTTCATAAAGAAAGCAACAGAATACCAATCAAGAAGGGTGTAAGGCAGGGGGACACAATCTCCCGAATGCTATTTACCGCGTGCTTACAGGAGGTTTTCAGAAGCCTAGAATGGGAACAGTTGGGGATAAGAGTCGATGGAGAGTACCTTAGTAACCTGCGCTTCGCCGATGACATTGCATTGCTGAGTAACTCAGGGGACGAATTGCAACTCATGATTACGGAGTTAGACAAGGAGAGCAGAAAGGTGGGTTTTAAAATGAATCTGCAGAAAACGAAAGTAATGTACAACAACCTCGGAAAAGAGCAGCGCTTCGAGATAGGTAATAATGCACTTCAAGTTGTAAAAGACTATGTCTACTTAGGGCAGGTCATAACCGTGGAGCCGAACCACGAGATTGAAGTAACTAGAAGAATAAGAATGGGGTGGAGCACATTTGGCAAGCACTCTCAAATTATGACAGGTAGATTGTCACTATCCCCCAAGAGGAAGGTATATAACAGCTGTATCTTGCCGGTACTTAGCTACGGAGCAGAAACCTGGAGACTTACAAAGAGAGTTCAGCTTAAATTGAGGACGACGCAGCGAGCAATGGAAAGAAAAATGGTAGGTGTAACCTTAAGAGACAAGAAGAGAGCAGAGTGAATTAGAGGACAAACGGAGGTTAAGGATATCATAGTTGAAATAAAGAAGAGGAAATGGACATGGGCCGGGCTTGTAGCGCGTAGACAGGATAACCGCTGGTCCTTAAGGGTAACTAACTGGATTCCCAGAGAAGGGAAACGGGTTAGGGGGAGACAGAAGGTTAGGTGGGCAGACGAGATTAAGAAGTTTGCGGGTATAAATTGGCAGCAGCAAGCACAGGACCGGGTTAACTGGCGGAACATGGGAGAGGCCTTTGTACTGCAGTGGACGTAGTCAGGCTGATGATGATGATGATTTTCCCTTCAAATTGAAGCGCTTGTTCATTCGTCTCGTGCACGCCTGCAGGCATCGCAAGAATGATTATGCCGAGTTGTTCAGCAGTTTCACAGGTGTTTCTATTTATTTTCCTGTTAGAAAGAAATTCTGCTGATAATTTCATTGAGGTTGGGGAGCAAAAAAAGAATTTCGGAGGATAAGCTGAGTGTAGTATAGAGTTTCTTCTAGGACGGCAATGTCCTTTCTGGCCACAATATAACTGACGCGGAGGACGTTGTGGCCTGATGGGTTTTAATTATTGCAGCAGCCGCGATTAGTGCTGCCACAGTTCAAGTCGAAGCTGACACCGGAAGACAACTTTGTAAGTTTGCTGTATGAGTTTGCCGCAGAAACTCTTGGAAGGGAACGACATCTCTGGCACTTATAAACTTAATCAACATCAGTTTCACTTGAGGCTTCTACTGGTTTAATTCTTGCCACCTCGGCTTACAAACAGACATTTGCGTTGGAAGCTTTGGCAGTCTGAACTGTCGTGAGTGGTATGAGCTAGAATGACAAGTTCTTTATTATTACTTGTAATCTACAGATATGAATGTGCCGTGCCGAATTGCCAGATTGCTTTTCGCTTAAGCATTTAGCGTGATGAGTACTATTGCGGTGGACAAACGCGTGTAATCGCTGTGGCATATAATAGCTAATTTCAGTGTCCGAACTCATTTTGGCGCAAGACTGTGACTCATGTACACCTGTCAAACTCTTCGAGCACTCTTGAAAAAGTTTTGATTGATCTTACCCAAACTAAACATTATGCGCATGGTTTATTCCTCATTTCTCACAATTCAATGGGCTTCGTAAGCAATGATCCTAAAAAAAACCCAGCGTCAGCATTGAAACAATAAAAAAGAGCGAATGGCTGCGAGCATCTATCATCACAGTCACATTAGACATCCCATATTTCACCAATTGAAGGGTTGACTTCTAATTCGCCTGAAACTTGCCCACTACACACAGTCTCGTTATATGTATGCTATCAGACGTGCCACTGATTCTTGAGACTGATTCTGAAAAGTTGGTAATATAACGTCTCGGATCACACCCACGGTACAAGTTGAGGACAGTATCGAGTGTATCAGCCGCAAGCAAATAAAAAAAAACAGTTCTTTTATTTGAAAAAACAAAATCCTAGTTTTGCTCGCAAGGCTAAAGTAGAATGAAAGTGATCGAGACAAATTGTTACTTTATACGAAGTAAAGCTATAGCAGCTAAGCCTTTTAGATCCAATTTCTCTGTCACTCTACAAAACGCTGGTGTAAGGGAATACTACCTCCCCCGGGAGCGAGGAGATTTTAAGGATGTCTGCCGTCTCAACGTGAAATAAGCGGGCAGTTTGCTGATGCCTCTCGAGATACCGCACTCACGCTAGCGATTGCGCTTATATGATCAAAAAGCACCAAAATCAGTTGAAGCGACGCCGCCCCCCCCCCCCCTCCCTCTTTCCTTGGCTCCGTTCATGTTCCTCCAGCTGACGAAAGACCGGGTGGGGCATGTGTGATTTCATGCTTCCTCTGTGCGACGTGGATGGTCGAATCCTTTCAGCTGTCCGCCTTGGTGGAACAGTGGCTACGGTGCTTTTGGCTGCTGACCAGAAGGTCGCGGGTTCGATTCCTGCAGCGACGTTCGCATTTTGATGGAGGCGAAATGGTAGAGGCCCGTGTGCTGTGCATTGTCAGTGCACGCTAAAGAACACTATAGATGGCCAAATGACTGGAGCTTTCAATACGGCGTCTTTGATGGTCATATTGTGGTTTTGGGACGTGAAACCCCTGATCTTGTTGTCCCTTCAGCTCTGTTTCAGCCACGTTCGTTGGCCACGATCCTGCGCTTTCACTCGCGGGTAGAACATTTCGGATTCGCGGGGTGGGGTTCTCGACCTCGACTTTACACGAAAAATGATGATGATGGCATGAGCCAATTGAGAGTATCGATATAACTGTTGTCGCAATAGCACAAAGAAAACGCTTCGGGAATTCGCACCTTTGCCATAATCTCTATAGTCAACAGTCCCCTTGGTGCAATGGGTTTTGAGGTGAAGAGCGATTCAGGGCATAAAAGGTGGACGCTGCATCATCCGCACCCAATGCTTCTTTTAAGCACAACGCCTTCGGACTTTGATTTAGATGCACGGGAAAGAACCCCCACTGGTCGAAACTTCCAGAGTCGTACATCGTCTCTCATACCACATCACAGCTATCACGGCGTAAAACCCGAGAAATTATTATAAGAAAATATGAGACGCCGAGCAGATGGCCGTTTTAGTGTCCCAGACGGCGCATTTCCACGATGATCTATACTGACTAGAGAAAAAAGAAGGAACATAGACAGGCTGTTGCTGGGGGTATATAAGTCCGCAATCTGTGCACGTGCGGTAGCATACGGCCTAGCCACCCCCCCCCCCCCCCCCCACACACACACCCCACTTCCCCACATTCGACGTCAGCCAACTGTGCGAGCGTGCACAGGTTTCCGTCACTGCTAATCGGATCACGGCCCACGTCGGAAACGCCTCTGCGCCGCTTAATTGACAGCCGGCGGAGACGCCGCAGAATTACGGAAAAGAACAAAGCCGAGAAGGTGTTGATCGGGGAGGGACAGCGCCGCCCCGCGACTGAATAGCGTGCTTTGGTTCTCATTTCGGGGCGCCAAGTGAGTGCGAAACAAGGTTACCGGAATGCATCGCGCTTTATATCCGCAGGAGACGAGTCCTATGGACGCTCGATGAAGCGACTGACTGCATGCAATCATGGAGCCACAGGGTGACTGGAAACCAAACAGAAAAAAAAAAGATATTGGGCTCTCATTTAAAAAACGTTTCTTTTCAAGGTGATACTTTTGACTGACACATTCTGTTAGCGGTGTCGTGCGAGCAGTCTGAGAACTCGGACAGCGCGGGATGCATAGACTTGCAAAAACACAGAACGGATGCGTTAATCACGAGAGATCAATTAGGTTGAATCAGTTATCGGTGAGAGGGCTAAACTTTGGAGAAAGCCTATACAACTAACAGACCTAGACGGTCACAGATGGTGCTTCGAGTTTTTTTGTTATGACCATTACCCCGTTTTTCGCGTTGTAAGGCTCAGTACGCCATTTCCACGAGCTCACGCTTTTGCACTCGTGCGCGAACGGCATTTCTTCTAAGCTTTAAAAACAACACATGCACACACACCTTGGCTTGTGAAGTTAAGTGGAACTTCACACAAAAACGCTGGTGCCTTAAACCAAAAAGAGACGTTACAAACATCTTACGTAACGATCAAGGTTGACGGGAAAGTTGATTTATTCACATGGATATTGCTACCATTTGAAGGAAAATTACGTCTTGTGTTATGATCATGCTATGATCATAGCATAACGCATTTACGATTTACATAGAAATTTCAGTCGTGTTCTTTACGTTTTGCGTAATTACCTCTGAACTGGGTTCATCACCCAGCGAGAACCAATTGGCTTTGGTAGGACTAGTCACATGTACTATTTTATTTGAAGAAATAAAAGGTATATTATTATTATTATTATTATTATTATTATTATTATTATTATTATTATTATTATTATTATTATTATTATTATTATGTAGCTATGTAAATGTTGACCTTGTACAGAACCAAGTCCGAAACTTTTTGCTTCTCTTACTCTCGTTTCATAGTTTGGTATACATCTGGTGGGATAGTGTGCACCACAGCTGTTTCTTTTTTTGTACTGCTTAATTTTGCATACGAAGCGAAAAGAAGTAGCTGGAATGATGGCTCCAATCTCTTCTATGCACCGTTTCGATAATAAAAAAGTAACTCCATGACTATCGATTGATTGATATGTGGGGTTTAACGTCCCAAAAGCACCATGTGATTATAAGAGACGCCGTAGTGGAGGGCTCCGGAAATTTCGACCACCTGGGGTTCCTTAACGTGCACCATATCTGAGCACACGGGCCTACAGCACTTCTGCCTCCATCCGAAGTGCAGCCGCCGCAGCCGGGATTCCATTTCGCGACCTGCGGGTCAGCAGCCGAGTACCTCAGCCACTAGACCACCGCAGCGGGGCAACTCCATAACTGTAGTCGGTTAGCGAAAAAGATATTCGTATAGCTCCACCAACAGCCATTGCTTCCCCACCCAGCGAGAATTCGCAAAAATGTACACACCATACAATATCATTTGCTCATTTCTGTCACGTCGTGCCCATTGAACATTTTAGGTTGATGATTTCTCGTTACAGTCGTATGTTACACTTGTGTAGCTGATTTTCGATGGAAAGCTTGAACTTCAAAAGTTCAACAAATATTCCAACATTACTACTAAAGGTATTATCTTAAATATGGACGACGAACTTTCAATTCTGAATATTCTTAGTCCTTGCACTGGAACGAAAACAATATTTACTGACGCAACAGAAACCACCTAGCTCGAATTGTTTTAATGAAAGGTGCATCGCAGTTCTTGAAGTGGAGCTTCTAATAGTGTTTTTTTGTCCCTCCGGTATTCCTATAATGCAATACTGGATAGCCATAGGCGGGCGGATGGGGAGGACGGGTAGTCATGGGGATGAGGGGAAGTCAAGTGGGCTACGACCACAAGTTAACCAATAAGCGGCGACGCAAAACCTGCCTCTTACATTGACTCACTTACCCCCTATTCAGAAACGCTGCTTGACTTGAACTTGACCGGTCACCGATTTCAATGCAGCCTAAACGCGTTTATAACGTGCTGTTTTTAGGGGGTGCCAAGGCAGCACAAAGACACAAACCTTTGCCCGCCCCCCCCCTCCTTCCTAATGGGGAACCCTGCGCCCGCCAATGTGGAGCGTATGTCATAGCCTTCACCCCGTCAAGTGACGTAGCTACCGAGGATAATAAACAATAAGCAAGCGTGTAATATGTATCCTCCGAGATTCCAGGAGCGCCATTGCTTTAGCCTACAACATCGATTTATTAGAGTACGGATGTCGAAAACAGTGCTGAATCGAAACATACGCCTTGTTATTTAAGCTCAAGACAATACACTCAAAGGAAGGCGTAAGTTCATAACTACAGAGTGGCGGAGTGCATGACGACAATTTCTTCGATTATAGATAGACGGCAACCGCTTCCAGCGGTGGGACCATGTTTCTCGGGTGCGCGCATAAGCAGTTCACAGTGGGTATTGTGGTATACCAGTGAATATTGCGTAACAGGGGTGCCTGACGGATCAAGATGCACGCTGTATTGCAAGGTAGCAGCACACTACAACCTTGATTGATTGATTGACTGATTGGTTGATATGTGGGGTTTAACGTCCAAAAACCACCATATGATTATGAGAGACGCCATAGTGGAGGGCTCTGGAAATTTCAACCACCTGGGGGTTCTTTACCGTGCACCCAAATATGAGCACACGGGCCTACGGAATTTTCATCTCCATTGGAAATGCAGCCGCCTGCAGCCGGGATTCGGTCCCGCGACCCGGTCAGCAGCGGAGTACCTTAGCCACTAGACCACCGCGGCGGGGCAGGTCGGAGCTGACTATAGCAACAAGCTTCATCAGAGACTGCTCTCGGCATATGAACGAGTCGATGGAATAGGCATCCAGAGTAATCCAGCCGACCTACCGTCATGGTGCACGCAGGCGTGTCCGGAGCCCGTGGACTTCCGGGCGGCGCAGTGCGCGGCCTTCGACCGGGTCCCGTACCGAGGCCGCCTGTACGAATGGACGCCCGTGCAGGACCCCAGCGACCCGTGCAGCCTGACGTGCCAGGCGCGCCAGTTCAAGTTCATGGCCAAACTGGCGCCCAGAGCGCAGGACGGCACGCGATGCCGCGAGGGAGCGCTCGACATGTGCGTCCAGGGAAAGTGCCTCGTAAGCTGCCATTCTCTCTCCTCCCCTCTCGCTCTCTCATTCGTTCTTGGTCTTCGCCCCTACCTGCTTTTTTCCTGTTGGCCGTTCATGACTATTGCTTACAGCTTACAGCATAGCACGAGTGTCTTACACACACAGTATCAACGCCTTACAATCGCGATAATCTGCGAGACCGTCAGCAGCACGCGCAGGCGCACAAGGCAGTGCTAGCTAGCGCAAATGCCATCTGCCACGCATTTCCTTTCAAGACGATACCGTCCCTTTCTTTGATAAAGGTGCTACGATGTGTACGTCGTTCTTTATGAAAGGGAACACGCGAGCACGTGGTGTGCTCCCTGCGGCGGATGCCTACAGCACCATCAACCGACAGCGTCAAGTGACGGTAGTGGGAGCGTTATCTATAAGAGCGCTTGTTTAACGGCCATGACTCTGTATTTTGCTTGCCAACAGATTGCGCCTGAGGCCGACGAGCGTCCTTTATCTGCCGGTTCATGGGGCTGTAGGCAGCCACCACAAAGTGCGGGCCGCGCGGTCTTATGTTCCCTTTCATAATGAACGACAATGTACAATTGCAGATAGAAACGCCGCAAAATGTCCTTGCGCATAAACATTGGGAAGTTTCTTTGGCCGCAGTAACAGGAAAGATAAAAAGCACGTACATCGGCATATTTTTTTGGGCGCACGCAGTGTTGTGTTTTTTACACAGCTTTCGTTTGCCTTCTTCTCCCTCCCCCTATTTTTTTAGTTAAGGGGACTAATTCATTATTAAATAAGGCATGCATCGTCTTGAAAGGAACAGCTTGGCAGACGACGCTCACGCTAGCGTTGCTTTGTGCGCCTGTGCGTTCTATATGCTCCCAGCCCCGCATATATGGCTGTTGTAAGGCACTGATACTGCGTGCAGTCGGCAGTCATGTCATACAGTTGAAAATGATGGAGGCTGTACATTTGTTGCAAAGCGAGAAGCGGTAAGAGAAGATGACAGCGCAGCACAGACGCAAACGTAGCGGATAAGTGATACATTTCCCAGTTCATTTTCCAAATATGAGGCTATTTGCGGCTACATACAAACAACAAAAAGAAGTTGGAGGGTAACAATCGGTGGCTTTGATATACGCTAGCGCATATCGCAACTATAAGAAATATACAGTAAACGAATGCCCGAGTCATCTATGGCCAGATAGTACCACTATGTTCATGTGGTCACCTTCCGATATGCTAAACGTCATCAAACCTAGCAAAGAACACACACGCACACTCAACACGGCACACAAGAGTGTTCTGTGTGGACTAGGTGTCCGTTTTTGCGCAGTCAGGAAAAAAAGCTCATGCTTCACACCAACTAGCAAAGCAAAAAGCCCATTTGACGGCGTGAAAGCTTTTGCTGAAGACTTGAAGCAACCTGGCCTTTATTATTTGCAAATGTTTTGACATTTTTAAAGCCGGGGGCTCTTGCGTTAATTAGCTATCTAAAGCTGCTTCTTTAGTTATTTGCTTTACGGTGGCAATGGGCATGTGCAGCATATCGTGGGCACTTTCACATTTGTGATCATTGCATTTCCATATTTGGATGACTGCTACCCCACGACAAAATGATACAGACGCTTAGACCTATACTTGCTATTTTTTATAGTGCACGTAGGCATCTTTAAAGCAAGGTGAACGCCAACGAGCATCAAAGCGATTGAGGGGAAATCGCATTGTCTGGAGTATCTCTCTTTTAATATTGTAACTATGCCGATGCAAGCGCTCCTGAGTGTTTGAAACGAACGGCTGCAGCTACAAATTTTGATTGCCAGTACTACCGCAATGAAACCGTTTATTAATGCATAAGTATAGTTTTATTATGTACGCGTAATCAGTAATTATTCACTGCCGTCCAACCCTACTCATCAGAGTTTAATGAAGACCATGCTAAGGTCGGACCCATTTGAAAAGTTTAGCAATTGGCTGTGGTAAAAGTTTTGCAGGGCAAGATGCAATCCCTAACAACGGTCCCTTCACCTGGCTTCATCCTTCATGCTTCGTGACAAATACTCGCGGGGATGAAGGTAAAGCTTAGTTTTCTATGCAAGGCCATTGTTCTCGCTCACTGTGGGTCCATGGCCAGTTAATTCCAGTAAGCCGAAGACCCTATAGCCCCCTACCATATCTAGTTCCCCTTAGTTAGCCATTCAGCAGGTCTTGAAATGAACAGCAGTGGCCTATGTACTGTTCTTCAGTTGCAACGATTGCTGGGAGTGCCTAGTCTACACTTCCATGACGCCGAGTCTCGAAGACATCGTAGAACTTGCAATTGAGCGATTGTTTATTGGGCGAGATCTATTAGAGTAGCATGCCATAAACGTGGCAATTTGTATTTAGTCGTCTTTTAAAGAAGGACAACGACAAGAGAAAAGACAGGGAGGTTCACCAGGTACACGTCATTTAAGAGTGAGCATTTTATCAATGTTCACGTTAGTATTATTGCTTCATCTTTGGCTTGCTTAATGTGTCGTGCGTTGCTTGGTGTGAGCACACGTGTACACCTGTGCGCTGGTGCGTGCGCGTTCTTCTGTGTTTTGCGGAAGCCCGTGGGCTGCGACCTGGAGCTGGGCTCACTGGCTGAGGTCGACGAGTGTGGCATCTGCGGCGGCAACGGAACAACCTGCAAGGCACCCATCTTCTCCTGGGCGGAGGCACCCTTCTCGCCTTGCTCGGCAACCTGCGGTGGAGGTGAGCGTCTCAGACTTTTTATTTCCATGTTGCTCCAAAGAAACGTGTAAGATATTGAATTCTGATTGTAAGCAGTGCGAAGCTTTTAGATGCGGAGCATCTAATACTCGAGGCTTGTAGTGCGGCGCCGTCCGCAAGCTTCCTCCTCCTTCTTCCACCATCTGTGCATCCCTTCCTCCTCTACACACCGCGCGCGCTTCACTCCTCCACCATCTGTGCACCCTTCCTCCTCTACACACCGCGTGCGCTTCTCCTCTTCACGAACATTCGCTAGCTGTATAATGTAGCGCGCATGCGCCGTCACGCTTCGAGAACATCGGCAGCTGACGCGTGCGCATGCGCCGTCGCGCTTCGAGAACATCGGCAGCTGTCGCGCGCGCATGCGCCATTGCGCTTCTCCCCCTTCTCGAACATTCGACAGCTGACAGTGCATGCGCCGTCGCGCTGTATATATACTCAAGGTCGGCGCTCGCTCGCTCAGTTGCCGCTCGTCGGTTGGTTTGTACGGCGCGTCGACGTCCAAGGTCACGGTGAAATGAATTCCAACGAATCCACAAACACAATGATCGACGTCCCTTCGACCAGCGCCGCCCTTTCGCATACGTGTGTACGTGTTCACTCATTTAACACCCCCCTCCTACAACCACGTTAACCAATTCAGCCATCGACCCAAGTAAGTCGCAAGTTAACACCCCATTTCACAACCACGTTAACCAATTCAGCCATCGACCCAAGTAAGTCGCACTTTAACACCCCGTTAACCAATTATACGCTCCGCATCCTCCTCAGTGTTCCCCCGAGGGAAGCTGCGGGCAATTTTTTGACAGTCTTCCTCTCTCGGCCAAATGTAAATAACAACACGCGGAGGACTCACATTCGGTGAAGGCAGACCCTTGGGGCCCTACTCATCGAGGTTTGCTATGACGTGAAGGTATAATAAGAAAGATGTTCAGCGAATCCTTATGATTAGTATAATAACAGACAGGGAGCCACCCAACGGCAACAAGAACATTGGCACAAAATGTAAAACAGGGAATTCAGTCCCTGGCTTGTAAAAAAAGGTGAAAAAACAAACAAATGTCAGCTCTCACAGCTATGCAGTGCCCGTCCTACTAATTCACAGTGTAGACAAAATTTGGCTCTTTATTGCGTGTTTTTCAACGAAAAAGATAACTCACAAAGAATAATCGGATATAGTGGGAAGCCTCCGCCTAGACACCAGGAAGGATTGATACGCCAACTGTTATGGCGATCTTTACGAGATGACGAAGCTTCATGTTGAAACACTACGCTTCCATGATGAGGCTTCACTTACTCGTCCTCTCTTTATCAGTTCAAGCATGTCCAGGAATTTTGTACGTTCTTCCTTCGGCACACATCGAAGTAATTGCGGAACTTGCGGAACCTACCAGAGTATAATTCTATAAGCAGCATTTAAAGAAATCCGGGCTGTTTACAAAGGTACAAAATATTATTTAAACACAACAAAATATTTACAACTCTGCAGCGTAAGTTTGATACTGAAGAAAGATTTTCCGTTGACGTCACAAACTGAATGTTGTTTAAATTGGGTAGGCCTTTTGGGAAAAAACTTGATATAAGTGTTTCCTATGAAGGTACGCTATAGCGTTGGGCTGAAGTTTTAGAGACGGTCCAATGTGAGAACGTCTTGTCATATCTTGCATATAACTCGAAGGGTAGATGAAGAATTTTATATGGGGTGCGGGATAGAGAAGTTAGTTTACGGGAAGTGGAGAACCAGCTTACGAGTCAGTTTACTTCTATTCCTTTTTCTAAGAATAATGATTCACTAATAAAGAATGGGGGGAAGAGGGAGGGCAGGGCGTCCGGACTCTTATCTGTTCCCCAGATTAAGTGCGTATACTTGTAAATAATGCAACTATCAGATAACAATCCAGGAGGCAAATGCCATTTCTTGTTGACGATGAAAACTATTTGCGATAAACCAGCAGCATTGAGAAATCCAGAACATAAGCAAGGCGCCTGTGTCGTTCATGTGATTGCGCAGGCTACCAAGAGAGCCACCCAGTGTGCACGTCGTCAGACACGGGCGCCGAAGTGGACGACCGGCTCTGCGACGTGGACTCTCGGCCAGACTCCAGGGTCCGGGCCTGCGGAAGCAACCCCTGCCCACCCGGGTACGCATACGTTAAGCAGACCTCGTAAAGCACTCATTAATTGCGTCAGATTGCGTTGGTAGCCCCCCTTATCTGATTGAAAAAAAGGCACTGAGAGTTCGAAGATGCCTAATGTTCTGTCGCTGTAGTGTAGCATTGTAAATTTTTGATGTGGTAGAGAGAGCTGCCTGTTTGTTTCTACTGAGCGTAATACGAATCACAGATCATTTATACATTTAGGGTATACAATTTTGCAAACCCGATGAGTGTACAAGGTAATAAGGAGTTAGCAAGAGTGATTGTGTTCTGCTGCACGGAATAGCTATGTGGTCGTTTAAATGTCTTTCGTTGCACGTTTCCCTAGTTGTTATTGCGTAATTGTGCAAAACGAGAAAGTGAAGTTCGCTACAATTGAGAAGCACGAAATTTAAGGCATTAGAGACGAACCAGCTCGTATAGCTGTAATATGAAAAATAATGGCGTAATGAATTCGTTATTCTACGAGCAAATAACTATACTCCGGAGCATTCACCATCATATGTTCATCGTGCACTCGGAGATTCCCCCAACTACTGCTTCGTTCGCAGGTGGGCAATGGGCGAATGGAGCGAGTGCAGCGCGTCTTGCGGCGGTGGCAGGCAGGCGCGCAACGTGTCTTGTGTGCGGCCCTCAGCAACTGCGGGCTCGGCAACGGCGGCTGTGGCTGACCACTTCTGCCCCGGACAGAGGCCGGTAGACACAAGGCCCTGCAATGCGCACCCCTGCTCGCGTTGGACCGAGGGCCAGTGGTCACAGGTGACGTCTATAGCACCGGGTCTTATAGATGAAAGATCTCCGTCCCTTCTTCTCTTGCGCGATGATGTACAGCTAAACAACCGGTGATAAATTAGTTGAAGTTATCAGCAAGTTAACTGGTTCTTGCCGCGGTGGATAATGAATCATTGAACTCAAATGGTCTAATGATCTTCATTTTTTAAAGAAAGCTTGAAAGGCGGGTAATTGTATAGTCAGTTCGTTCGTTATAGCCAGTCACACAGATAGCTTGCTACTTAATTAAGAGTAGTTGACAAAAACTAGCTAATGCATGCTTTCAGTATTCCTTAGAGCCTGTGATTGCTTAATACTTAACCAAATAAAAATTTCTGGGCTATGCATAGAAATTTACGCTCCCACAAAACTCTCTCAAAAAGAAAAAAAAAACGTCAGGCCTGCGCAGAAGGCGCAGCGCAGTCACAGCGAAAGCTAAAAGAGCGGCCTTTCAGAGCCTTTTCAAGACACTGATTGGGTAACTACAGCAAGCACCCTTACTTAATACCCACTAGGGCAATAATAATAAACTTTTGGGTAGTAGGCCGGCATTCGCTGCACTGTTTTTTGTTATTCTTCTGAGATGCGTGGTACCCGCTAAGCGCTTACAAGGAATTCCGTACCAATTGTTCATGCAGTGGCTGATGACGATGAGGAATCATGGCTGAAGTGGGTATGCACCTAAGTTATAGGGGAACAAGAACAAGCTTTTGTAATGGGTTGGAGCATTGGACGGTCCACTGGTTATGCTAATTGCATTGTGTGACGACTGGTTGTTCTTTCAATGTTTTAAAACGCTTTACAAGTCATATTAACGCGATTGCTTTCCCGACATCAAGCCTGCCTAAGGCAAGTTTGCAACAAGTCACAAGCAACAGCGTAGCTCAGTGGTAGAATGCTGGGCTGGCACCCAGCAGACCCGGGTTTTGAACCCCACTGTGTCTTTGGTGCTAGTTTTTTTTTTCCTAACACCGGCGGCAGCGGACAACTGCGCGGGACACGAGTGGTGATCTCATAACAGCTTTCGCTGTAAAAAAATGCAGCTTTCAAAAGTTTTAGTGTTTAACTGATGCTGCCTGTGGCTGCTCTATTCTTCACGATCACAAGGTGACAATATTAAAATTACTATAGCAACGATGACATTAAGTGCTGCGCGAACCTGTTTACGCTTACAAAGATTGAACTGCTTGGCTGACAACCGCCGCACTTAAGGCCGTAACATTCATGCAGATGACGTCACAGTAACGGGACCAAACTGGCATAACGCATTGACGTTCAAAGCAAAAATTTTGTAGTCGTATGAGAAGTGAGGACCGAAGACCTTACGAATATTATTCTGTTCAATAAAAACCATTTGTGAGATAGGCACTGTCCTGCAAAATGTTTAGTTCTTCCATCTTCATTTTATCTGCGCCTAACCATCTCGCCATCTTGTTGCAATACGCATTCACCCAGCGACGAGTATGTCTGGAGATAAAATACTCCTACGACACGCTTACACTCGTTGTACCTATGCACGTGTATTGGTACAAAGAATGTATTGTTACAACGAACAAAACAAAATATAACGAAAACTACGAGATTTTGCCCCTTCAGTATGGCGCCGACACTGGCTCGTGAACCAAAGTGGGGGAAGAGAAAGACTCTCGAGTCGTGCTTCATTCGTCGCGACAAGTCGGCGTGCAAAAGCAACCGCGGCCCACTCCCGGAGGTGTATACAGAGAGACATACGAGACTATAGTAGTGGACTGGGTAACTTCCGCTCATTTGGTGCCAGTGCATTCTGAGGATACTATACGTGGTGAAACGTCTGCGTAGTTTTTTTCTTGTTATATTTTGTTGCTTTAAATTGGAGTGCATGTTTTTATTCTTGATATCCCCCAGCTTTTGGAACATTCTAGTATTTTGCGGGCGCCGTGCTTGTCACGCAGTGCTCGGCTACGTGTGGCGTGGGCACGCAGACACGGGCGGTGGAGTGCCGTGACATTCGAGGCCGTAAGAGCCACCTGTGCGACCCGAAGAGACGGCCGCGGTCCAAGCAGCAGTGCTCGTCGGGAAACCCGTGCCTCTTCAAGGGTGAGAGCTGGACACACCGTCACTCTGTTATGGGCTCTTGATAGCATTGCCAAAACAAGGCTGCAAGGAGCGCTTTCTTTTAAATAAAAAAAAATAAACGAAGGAGTTGTTATCACCATTACTTAGTGATGGCTACAGCTTTACACTTCATTGTTGTCTTAAAACATTTAAAAAACAGTGTAGCATATATATTCATATATATAGTCCTACATCGGTGAGTCTAGAAGTTCTCATTCGGGCAGAACAGACACATAGCCGCCACGCTCACTGTCAACTTACATAATCTGCTCAGTACTAATCCCCAATGTTTGTGTCTGCGAAAAAAAAAAGTTGCAGTGCTTCCATTGATTTGCGATATACTCTAGAAGAATATGGACCTAGTTTTCCCTCCCACGTAAGCGTTCGCTAGAAATATAACGTGTGGAATACCTGCTCGAGTCACCGTGTGTGCGTTATATATGGTTTCACTAAATATAAGTAGCGTGTCTGTTAGCATGCTCTGCACATTGGCATGATACTCATCAGGGGCGGCTAAAGAAGAAAAAAATGCTTTCTTTGAAGTCACATGCCTGATCACCAACATATTTTCAACTCTATGGTTGAGGTAGTGAGTTGCTCTGTTTTTTTTTAATATTACACTATGCTTATGGTGTTATGGTGCTTATGGTGTTTTTTTTTAATATTACACTATGCTTATGGTTAATCATATAGTAGTTTTGGGACGTTAAACCCCACATATCAATCAATCAATCTATGCTTATGGTATCTGTCACTTCAGAAATTACCTTTTTTGTTTATTCACAAAGACAAAGTACCACTTCGTCGAACTATTATGACATTATAGTGTGTGTGTGCTTTGGCTTTCCTCCCTCTCTCTCTAGCGTTCTCTCTTTCTTGTTTTTTCTTCCTCCTCTTCCCCAGTGCAGGGTAGCAAATCAGATACTTGCTTTCCGCTTAACCTCCCTGCCTTTCTTCATACGATATCTCTCTATCTCTCACACAAACAAGACACAAGCACATGGGGCCGCAATGATGCTTGACTTAACCCATTGTTAATGTACACTCATCAATTGTTGTTCGATTTACAGCAATTCTAGCCATAAAATGAAGTTAGACCAAGTTTAACAGTGAAACCAAAACTGAATTACAGATGGGAGCAACGAGCAGAACACTAAAATGACGTCGCTGTTCACAGCAATGATCGCAGTGATGTTCATAAGTTCTTGTGCATTCGTGAACGCACGTGTGTAGTGCATGCTATAATCCCAAGCGCAACATGCAAACACAGGAAGCGAAGTCGACGGACAGTAAATTTGACAACACTAGTGTATTCTGGGCGTCACACATCCAATTCATACGAACAATAAAAACAATTTTGGGAGCTTCACGTCCCTAAATCACGACGCGATTACGAGGAACGTTGTATAGTGGAGGGGCTACGGAAACTTGGATTAGATCATCTGGTTGTCTTTAGCCGCAACTGATATCGATATTCGGGTAACCAGACGATAAGCGTCACCACCGATTTAGTGCGGTGGATAAGAAGAACACGTTACTCGTGCTCTCGCGCCTTTTGGTTCAACTTTTGAAGGCGAACCTGGTCTGGTCTCATCTCTCTGCTGAAATGGCCAAGGGCCTGCTTTTCAGAAAAATTTGCGGATGCACATTTTGAAATCATCCGTTCAAGTATGTGTGCGTGTGGAACTGCTAATAATGACCTGAACGTGATTTTTTATGTTTCATGTCATACATCACTCAAAAGGCTCATCTACGCTAATCGATCAAACGACTCCGTAAAGCCTTATTATCACTGGTGGCAGGTGAAGTTCTTAATAGCTTCTCTTATTTATCGCTGCTCACTAAAATCGTGTTACGGCCACACTCTTAGCCGCCGTGTCCCTGCCATAAATACGTCCTGAATTCGCCTACAAAAACCTGACATATAGGCTGCAGTCCACCATACCTCTTCATGTTTAGCATCCGGTCGACCAACTGCCCTTGAGAAGAAGGCAGTCACAAAGCTGATGGTATTTGGTTTGACTTCGTTGCGTGGCAGAGGCTGTCCTCCTGATATCGACCCTTAACTCTGCCCTCGTAACATAAAATTCAGGCTATATATACCATGACACTGGCTCATCTCAACACTTCATCTGATATTTCTACGCCAGGAAGGTCACCTTTTCTCATCTTGTAACCGTTCTCTCCTTTTCGTAGCGCCTTATCGACCAACACTATGTATACATTCAAACGAACGTAATGCAGAAAGACCCCTTTCTGATCAGACGAACAACTATTACGTAATTTTATGGGATGAAAAGTCAAGAACCACTATTTTCGCGATGTCGGTTTCAGGGGTACTAAATCAAGTATATACCTCTATAACAGTGGTCATGTAGTAAGTGTTTTAACGCTTAATTGTAGAAAAAGAACAAAAAAGCCACATGGACATAAATGGATCGTCTTGATATTAGCGAGCAGCACAGGTAGAAACGAAAATATTCATTGTCGGCGGCTGTTATGCAACGCAATACAGGCAAGCTCTAAGCCAGTGAAACGTCAGGCCGTGCCGTGTTACACCACATGCCTACTAAAGCGCATCGGCGAGCAACCCCTACAGGCACTCCACGTGACGTATATACTTAAGTGCGGGGGTGGGTAACGTGTACTTTGAAGTTAAAAGTAACAAGTAATACCACTATTGGGAAACTTGAGAGGGACATTCGAGCTAGCAACAACCTTCGATCGCCGCAAGAAAAGTGCAGCGTTGTACAGGTCACACGCAGGTTCTAGTTGCGTACGATCGTTTCGACATGCGATTAGAGAACATTTCGCGGCCTCGAATTATTTCCGTCGTCTCCACTGAACGGTACTTAGCGTGACGTCTTGACAGTAGAAGCAAGGGAGTATTAAAACTTTACGAGGGCTCTAGTCGCGTAAAAGTATAAAGGAAATCAGGTACTCCCAGTCAAGCCAACCACCGAATACCCCCCTCCCCCCTTTTTTTACATGACTGCAAAAGAGAGAAAAGAATTACCTTGAGCTAGTTCACAAAGTCTGAGGTGGACAACGCTGTCCCTAATGAAATGTGGCTGGAGAAGGTTATGTAAATGAGCTGCGGTGTGTTTGCGCATCTCCGTGCCGTATGGCATGGAACATTTTGCATTCCCCGCAAGGTTGGTATCGATACGAGCGCATCAAGCTATATACAAGGCTGCCTTGCAGATACGAGTGAAAGTTGCCGCTCTACATTCTCACGATCCGGTAAAAGGTCACACTTTCTAACCTGTAGCTTTTAAGATTGGCTGCTGACTGGAGAAAGATCAGTCAATCGAAACTGTAATTCAAAAGGATTCAGAGTTGGGCGAGTTGGTGGAAGTTGCTTGAAACGCTAATTCCTAACATCGTGCTGTTAATTTTGTGTCTGCTGAGGACGTATAAAAGTAGTAAAGGAAACCACAAAGGCAGTATTTTATGCGCCGGAACTCCACACTTTTTTCTATTTTCTTTCTTAGACACGTATTTGTTCTTGTTCACAGGAAAAGAATTTGGATCTCAAGAGGACGCCCCTCCTCAAGGCTTTGCACCCTTCAATGCACACTCCAAATCACACCACCAGTCACCGGAACCAAGGTGTGAACCTGCGAAACGCACTGCATTTCCAGGTCTATAATCGGTCCAAACTGGGCAAAATAAAAGAAAGCAGATTTGACAAATTCAAACCGAGAATATCATAGGTCAATATCAACGCAGAATTTTATTATATAAACACGAAGAGAAAAAGGGACTTCGTGATTATATAGAAGTACGAAAATACTTGGAAATAATGAAAATAATTAACAATTTCGAGATTACTACAAGGCAGTAAGTGAATTTTAACACTTTTTTTCAACTGTTCTTAGCCCTACCGTATGCTAAATGTTCACGGATATATTCATGGTTGCGGAGTCTTCGTTATGACAAAGATCTCCTTCTGTAGCTCAGTCTAAAGCATTCTTAATGTGAACGCCTGTGCTAGACCAGGACAGCGTTGTGTGGTGGAGGATAAGTTCTCCTGTTATAGTAATAGTGTTTAATTATTGCATTGAAAGTCAATAGCGTGACCCGGAATCATCCCCAATAAATTTCAAAACATGGAAGTCAACAAAGAAAAAGCGAAGAAAAACTTACGTAGCACAACATTTTGTTGACGTTAAAAAAATCACAGCATATTCATGAGGTAAATGATGATGAGTGGGGCGGAGCGTTTGTTCGTCAGTCCTTGAATCCGTTTGTCCATCCGGGCATGCTTCCGTCCGTCCGTTAATTCTTGCTTCCATTCGTCCATCCGTCCACCCATGCGTCCATTCAAGCATCCGTTCATTCGTTCATCCCTACTGAAACGTTCCGTATGCGAGTCCAATAATTCTATATGTTTCCATAAAGAATATATATGTTTCCCATATATTTTTCATATATTTCCGTAAGATTCTTACGGAAACATACGGAATTATTGGACATCGCATTCGGAACGTTTCAGTAGGGATGCGTGCGTCCGTTCTTCTGTTCATCCGATAAACACACGGACAAAGGCACGGACGCATGGATAGACGCATGAATGGACGCATGGACGAATGAACAACACGGACGGACAGAGCCACGAATGGGTGGAAGCATTAATGGACGCATGGACGGACGGATGGACGAAAGCACGGACGAATGAGTGGACGGGCGAACGAATGAACGGACAGGCAAACGAACGGATGGTTCGACACATGGATGGACAGGTGGACGCTTCGTCCCGCTCATCAGCATTCAATCCGTAGGCATGCTGGGAAAACCACTAACGCCATCTTGATATATTATTACCAAGGACATATACATGCTACGCCATCTATTGAGCAAGTCATAATCTAGAGATGGGTACATACTACGTACGGAAGAGAGAACGACCTTTGAGGAGCTTCGGCCCTAAAATCGTTCTTACAAGGAGAATCTTCTCTCTTTGCAGTGCGCTAATAAGCGGAAGAGAGCGATCTTACAGCATTGATATTCGTAGCAAACTAACGGCAGACGTCACTAGAATGAACGTGGACTCGTGTACTTTGACGTGGCAAAATATATAACTATAAACACAACGCTAAAGATAGCTTCAGTACCGGAACAACTAATATACGTTAGCGAGGCTAATCTTTCGCCATAGACGCAATAAACTAATGAACATTGTCGAAACCTGTGTGCGCAATTAAGGCTGCTGGAGAGAGGCCGTTATTCATTAAGTTTTTTTCTTGGGTCCTAGTGTGCGCAGCTAGAAAGCCAATTTAAGCACGACCGTAAGCTATTAGCCTCGAGTACACGTGCGCTGAGAAACACGATCGTTCGAAGGCATCAGTCCAAGGCCGATGAGGGCACACGCTTCACCGACGAGAGGCAAGGAGTGAATTAGAAAGGACGGCGTCGCCATTCTTCGGGCCAAGAAGTTTCGGATCTAGATAAATATGCAGCGAGGCAGATAATTGTGTAAACATGTTTCTAAGGGCTATTCAACAGAAATGGAGTATTGTAAGTCTGCCTTTCTTGTGAACTCTCGGTTAGGAAAAAAAAACTGCGTTTGGAGTCTCATGCACTTGATGTGGTTTCGCTGTGTTACCAGATATAATAGTCGCAGCTACATCACAGCTAATGAAGACATGATGATGATGATGATGACGATTCTCAATATAATGGCTCGTTCGGTTAGTTTGCATTAAGAGAAAAATAATAGAAGGTAAGCCGCAGATACCACTTGGGCCAAAGGGCCCTTAGCTGCCATCTAGGGGAGAGGATATAACTCCTCTAAAGCTTGCCGCTTCCATAAAGTTGTTTCTCTCTCTTTCCTGTTTTTATGTATCCCTTAAACTACACAAGAAGGCAACTATAAAAAATTAAACTCGTTTATTATCCCCACTGCATTTAAATAGACCACGATTCTAATAACGTCTTGGTAGGGCGAACATTGATATGTGGTATTTAACATACCGAAACCGCCATATGATTATGAGAGACGCCAAAGTGGAGGGCTCTGGATATTTCTACCACCTGGGGTTCTTTAACGTGCACCCAAATCTGAGCACATGGGCCTACAACATTTCCGCCTCAATCGGAAATGCAGCCACCGCAGCCGGGATTCAATCCCGCGACCTGCGGGTCAGCAGGCGAGTACCTTAGCCACTAGACCACCACGGTGGGGTGGTAGGGCGAACATTGAAATTAAAAGAAAAACAAGTAGAATAATAGATGAAATATAAAAATCAACTTGTTTTATATTCGAGGTTTTGGCCTAGTAAGAGCTTGACTGGAAAATGCCAATTTGTTAAAGGTTTTGTTGTAATCACTTTGTAGCTTTTTTTTAACTTTTCTACATTTCCATTGCTGCCTGACTTATGGCGAAACAACCGTAGTAAGTTGGGTAAGAGCATGACACCGACCAGTAATGGGGAAAACCGAAGCACAAGGAAACCACCAACCAACTTCGCCAACCAAACTGGTGTCTGTAAGCCACACAGCAGCATTCATGAAACCTTCCCAGCGTCACTTCAAGGAGTATTTTCATTACCTTAGCCTATACAGGTTTGTGGTGCGCTGGTATTTTGGTGTGATTCTTCTTAAGGGCGAGGCTTGTCCATTAGAGGGCGTCGTAGCCGTGATGACGATGATGATCACGGACAACGACTGGCAGCATATTACATCTCGATAAGCTTTATACGACACAGAGTATTACTGAAAACAACCAACAACCTCACCAGGGAAGCGTGCACACACCTCGTATTTGCCAACATCAGGCTAGATCAGACACCGCAAATCAGTATTAACAAAGGCAGAACGAAATTCACAACTCAACATGACATACGCTTCATGACCGATAAACCTTGTATCTAACTGTTAACCGCTTTGTCACTCATTTACATACATGAGTGGTCAATGTCCTGGGTGATTCGTGGGAACACAGAATGATCTCATTACTTAGCCCGCTCATCATCGTTCACTTCATGGATACGCCTTGTCTTTTTGAGCCTGTTTAGCGTCAACTCGACATTTTTGCATTGCGCAGCTTCATCGTCGGAGACTGGGGATCCTGCAGCGTCACATGCGGCGATGGCGTCCAGAAGCGATCTGTGGAGTGCAAGATCTTTCTCGAGTTCTCCCGCACGATGGCGAAGTTGCCCGACAAGGAGTGCACTGGTGGGTGAAGTTTAATAAAACCATCTTGCGGGCTAGTGGTACTGCACATTTTATTTTTCAAAGCAAACAAAAATGAATGCGATGTAAAAGAAGACACACAGACACTGTCTACATGTGTTCTCTGGCACTCACTTATTTGCTCTAAAACAGTGGCGTAGGCAGGAGAGACACCGTGGGCCCCTTCCCCCCCCTCCTCCCCCGATTGTTTTTTCGCCATGCATACATAGCGCAAAATAACTATTGACCTGTCCAGCGCACACTTCGAAACAAAAAAGTGCCACCTTCCTCTGAAAAAGATATCTTTGCATACAGCCCTGCTCTAAAATATGGAGGCGTAATCACTCATTCGGATTTCGCGACAGCCGCTTCTCTTTGCGAAGAATATATGGTGAAGCGAGGGGATCGCCACCTGGAGGAATGGACGCCACTTGAAGATATGATGGCTGCGGTTCTCACTTATACTCAACGTTCGTGTTTTGTGCAGTTCACCATGCAGACATGACGACCAGCTCAGGCTCCGATCGCAGCACCCTTTCAATTATTCGAGGAGGTCGCGTTGCAGCTTTTCTTTGACCCACAATGCACAATGAGAAAGTTGATTGCATTACATACATACATACATACATACATACATACATACATACATACATACATACATACATACATACATACATACATACACACACACACACACACATACATACATACATACATACATACATACATACATACATACATACATACATACATACATACATACATACATACATACATACATACATACATACATACATACATACATACGTACGTACGTACGCACGCGTACGATACATGATCCCCTAGCCGCGGCGCGCTTCGACTATAGCTATTGAAGGAGAGTAAGAACAATGGCAGGAGGCAAGGACGTTAACTAGATCTTAAAACGTGCGAAAAACGATAAAGTATCTGATGAGTGTCGAATACCAACCTTGGAACGTGCCTCACCGCGAGAAAAAAAAAGGGGGGGGGGCAGACATGTGTGAACATAATCCTCGTCTGGCGCAGGCATCCGTCCAGCAGAGATGCAGCGCTGCACGATGCGTCCCTGTGCCCTGGACCAAAATCGTGGCGAGTCCGAAGAGGACGAGGAGGCCGACGAAGAAGGGGACGGAGCCGATGACGGCGGCATCGAAACCAAGCCGGAAGCGCCCTACTCGTGGCGCTCGGCGGGGTACACGCCGTGCTCTGCCTCCTGTTTGGGAGGTGAGCGCAGATACGACATCGTCTTCCCAATTAAATTTTAATCTCGGGCGAAATGTAACACCCGTACGGATTCGGCATCCCTATAGACCACGATATGACTATGAGAGGCGCCGTAGTGGGAGACTCCGGAAACTTCGAGCAGCTGGGGTCCGTTCGCGTGCGCCTAAAGTGCACTGGTCTCCAGCATTTCGGCTTACTCACAATGCGGCCGGTGCGGTCCCACTACATTGAGAGCAGCAGTCAAGTATCATAACGGCTGGGCCCCCGTGGCGAGTTAATATGAGAACGAAGGTGACTTTATGCGTACAGGTAGACATGTCTGCATTAGATTATCACGGTAGTCCTAAAGCGGAGACTTAAAGGCACCTCAACGTTAGGCGTGGGTTATATCGATAATCTTTTAAAACTAATGTTAACCATCCAATGCTAATCCTAGATGTTCGATTGATAGAAACATAAAAACGAAGCACCATGCGAATCCCTATAAGAATCGGCATTATAAAAATGTTTTATGTTGGAAGCGATGTCCATGCCAATGCACGAATTTATGTTAGTCTAACTTTCAGGCATCCCAAATGTCACAGCTATCAATGACTGCAATTAGCTAAAAGAGGATTTTTTTCTTTAAACCCGATGACGGGGTAAATGATTCATCTTTTACATGTTTTTTTTTCAGTTCTTTATGCTCAGGTAGAACTGAGAGCAAAAGTAAAATTTGTATAAGTGTCCCGAAGGAAGCTCCTTGGCGACTTAAATTTCCCGCCTATGTATAATGAGTTCAATTTTCCATAATAATGGCCACCGTGATGTACAACTGCTCGATTCTGATGATGTTCTGTTCCGTGCTACGAGCACAGCCTGAGAGGCGTCAGTCCCGATCGACTTTTTGTGAATGGTGGAATTACAATGTATGAACAAAACCAAGCAAAAAAATATTTACTATCAACCTATTTTACATCATGTCTTTAGCTGCATGCTTCGTGTAACTTTTCGTGACACTTATTTCTCTGAATTCAGAGGCCATGGACCTTGTTACAACGTTCAGCCTTAATATGGTATCGCCCATTCTCTATCATGCCTGAGAGATATGTTTGTTGCCTGGTTTGCATGGTTACAAGTTTCAACACTTGTTTCGGCGCAGGGATTCGAGAGTCCTTGGTAGAATGCGTTCGCAACGCGGATGGCCAACCGGTGAGCTACGTCCTGTGTGACATAAAAGAAAAACCGGAGACCATCACAGAGACGTGCAACAACATGCCGTGCCCTCCAAGGTATGTTGTCTCCTTCTAACTTATCCTAACCAACAACTCACTCTCAAAGAGTTAGGTATCCCGATACGTCAGCAACCAACCTGCCACCGCTCTGGGAAACGACTCACGAAAGGCTAACTTGACATCGTCTGCTCGCTTTCCTCGCTGGCACTGCTTGCTGCTTCATTTCACAGACCTCCGCGGAAACTGACACTGGCTTGCCGCCATCTATCTCGTTTATAATGCACATTACACGGCAAAAAAAAAAAATTTTAACGAACTACCTAGAGGCGCTTTATGTGCGTTTGTGCATATACATAATCAGTTGCGCGGTTCCTGGTAACGTTAAAACAACCTGATCTTGGAAAAACAACTAGCATTTTAGTGTGGCAACAATGGTAATGTGGCCTTCAGAGTAGCCGTTCAAGAGGTAGCCATATCTCGCATTCTTCCTCATTTCCGTTGCCAAAGACGAAGCTGCGCGATAGTTTCATCCAGGAGACAGGTGAAGTTCACCTTTGAGCAGCACTTCGTGCCAAGAGGAGACAAAATCTGGACTTCGTCAGCTATCGCGAGAGTGATGAGAGCGTGGTGCTGGGCTCAAATCAATAACCTTTTTTTTTCTCTTTTCCTCCTCACTTGAAAAAGAAAAACAGTGTAACAATTAGGACTCACATGTGGCGTGTACACATGGTCTCCCTATCCCCTAAGCTTCTAGGGTAGCTCAGGTAGAAACAAAATATGTGAATTTGCTGTTGTCCCGTTAGCAGGCGTCTAAGAGCGCACCAATTTCATTATGTAGCCCACTTCATCCCTTTCCAGCAAGATACCCCGTTTCCCCACGAAGAAATTAGTCGCCAGTTCACAGCTGTATAGCCACTTTCAAGTGTGAAATGTTAGTTATGAATAGCGGCAACAACGATGACGAATGCGACGGCGTTCACTGCCTCGGCAACAGGTGGAACATGTCCGACTTCACGCCTTGCACCAAGCCCTGCGGCGGTGGTTCGCAGTGGCGCAGCGTGCAGTGCGTGCACGAAGTCACCAGAGGCGTGGGGAACACACTCGTCGTCCACGACAGCCACTGCCCGGATCCCAGGCCTCTGGAACGACGAATGTGCAACCTGGTCGACTGCGTGGCTCGATGGAAGCCGGACAAGTGGACCAAGGTATCATTGCTCGCTGCTATGGCTGAAACTCTCAATGTGGGCTTGTTGTCACGCAATACTGAATGATAGCCCACGCTATACAAAGGCGGAAGAAAGGCAAACGGTCCTCTGTTGTGTGCAGTCTGTCTTATTTCCTTGTTTTTAGTGTGCGTTTAAATAAAGTATTCGCAATGCGCACAGACTATAGGTGGCGCGCCCTGCAATTGAAGATGGCTGTAGGAGGATGGTCAACCCGTGAACTTGCGTAGGTAAAGATAGCACGCACGGACGCACGCCCCATGCCGCTTTCGCCGGATGAACTTTTATTCATCAAACAAATCTATATCGGACCAAAGTACTTTCCAAAACGATTGATAGTGCTAATTGTTTGCTACCACATTTTTTTTTTTGCCGCAGTGTGAAGTGTGGGGGTGTCAGACCATGCGTCAGCGATGTCTTGCGTAATCCTGTGCGTGCTACAGAAAAGTGCGCGAGCTAAAATTGACGTATGAACTAAACGGCATTCCGAGGTAACTATAGTACCGAGCCTGCGTGACGGAGTTTCCGCAGTAGTTGGCAGCTACGGAGCAGCGCCCCATCGCGCCTGCACTTCACCAAAGTTTAACGTGGCGATGGTTTGCAAACACATCACGCCATCGTCATTACTTCAGCTGTCAGCAACATGGAGTTGCTTCTTCAAAGAAACGCGAGCATTTGACTTCCCATTAAGTAGCGCTTCTGTCACATTCACGCTCAGACTATGAGCATGCGCCAATTCACTGCACTCCAATGCTGCAGGTTCCATCAGCGTGATCTGAACAAGAATATCGAAAAGAATGCGCACGTATGCTTTTCGAAACATCGAAGTTGCTAAAATTCCTCAAAACATCGCTTGCAAGGTACTTGTGAAGTGCAGGAAAAGCAGAGAGGCGTAGATTGTAGTCGTAACTGCATGTTTGATCGCTCTAAAAACCATTTCGCTTCGCTGCTCGAGCGTGTTGGCGGCATGCGGCGTTCCATAATATACCCACTGTAATTGGGCTACATGCAACGTATGAAGAAAACTATGCTTTTATTTTGACCTGTATGAAGGAAATTATACAATAAATACAATCAAAGTGAATTATGAGTATGGAAAAAAACAGTAACGCATGAAGGGACGTGAAGTGCAGTTCGCCATTCGTGGGTTCACAGCTAATCGTTCGTCGCCGCTGTCACTCTCAGTGCGTTGACAACCTTCCACGTCCAGAAAAAATCGTCGTCGTCACGATGTTTTCTTTCAACATCACTGCTGAAAGTAATCTGAGGGATTCCCTACACCTAACGACCGCGACCACACCAGCACCGTGCCAATTCTCTAATTATGTTATAACGGGGTCTTCTACATTACGCCGGTCCGGCCTTCGACCATGTGTGCAAAGCTTCGTCCACGCCACTTCTGTTTGTTTTTTTTCTGTCAGGAAACACTGGAAACGTTAATGAACAGACTCAATAGACCAAATGACGATGCCTCCGATTAGTTACATGTGTGTTTAGAAAAAGTTGATAACAATTCAATGCACGGGGTACTCTCCTATGGGAGAGCATAAAGCCAATAACGACGTCCCGTGGACTTCGCACTTGATGATGCCAGGTTAATCCTAGGCGAAACTTAATATCGTCGTTTATGCTTATGTGCTGTGACATGCACAAGTAAAAATAAATCCCTCCGTAATTCCCTTGGTCGCGCGAGTGTTACAAAAGTTATCGAGAAAATAAGCAAATGTTTATTTTCTGTGCCATGGTAAAAAATAATCGACTTCTCAATGCACTTTCCCCAAATCCTTAATTTTTGTTTCAAATTACGCTTGTTTGAGCCGCCGACAATATATTCAGAAATCCTTGCTCTGCGTAGAACGTACTCGTAAAAGCTAACCACTACTTGTAGCATTTGTGGTGCCATGCATATGTGGAGCCAACATTATAGGTTATTCAAAATCTGGTGCAGTAATCGACGTGTAGTTGGCTCGCACTCTCGCGATAATGGATCAGCATTGTCCTGTGCATTCGCTTTCTCACATGGGTAGCAAGCTTGACAAAGTTGACTTATTCTCTCTGTCGTTTTTTTTTTTTTTCAATCTATATCTCTGTCTGTCTCTAATGACACTAAGTGCTGTGACCGTTCGCACGCAGTGTTCCAAGAGTTGCGATGGCGGAGTGAAGACTCGCAAGATTCGCTGCCAGAGGGAGCTGGCGTACGGCAGCGTTGCCGAACTGCCACCCTCCAAGTGCGCATCGAGGCGCAAGCCCCGTGCCGTCAAGCCCTGCAACTCCAAGCCCTGTCGGGGAGTCAAAGGTTCCGTGCAGGGAGGACCCGAGAGGAAGGTGGGCGTTTGTGTATACGAACACGCCGGTTTGGCTACCTATTGTTGCCTTTGTGTTTGAAACTGTAGTTTTACATAAAGAAGATGTCGCATATTTCTCACTGTGACAATGTGTTTTATAGTGAATTACTCCCACTTTATTGCATCATGGGGCCAATCCTCAAAGTGTGAGTTAAGCTTAAAGATAGGCGTCGATATCGCATCAATAAATCACGCACCAGAGCTTCCACTGATACTTTAAAATCTTATATCGATACCGGTAGCGCCGCGGTGAAATTTGTACTACCGTAAAATAGTAGTACCAGCGATACCAGTACAAGACCATCCTCGGAAAGCACTGGTAAGGTGGGAAAAAGGCCCCGCCGCGGTGGTCTAGTGGCTAAGGTTCTTGGCTGCTGACCCGTAGGTCGCGGGATCAAATCCCGGCTGCAGCGACTGCATTTTCGATGGAGGCGACAATGCTGTAGACCCGTGTGCTCAGATTTGGGTGCACGTTAAAGAACCCCAGGTGGTCGAAATTTCCGGAGCCCTCCATTACGGCGTCTCTAATAATCATATGGGGGTTTCGGGACGTACGTTAGACTGCACATACCAATCAATCAGTCAATGTTGGAAAGAGAGGAAAAGAGCGGGAAGGTACGAATGAGGTCAGAAAGGGCATCGCGACGGTGCGTTAACACTACAGATTTCTGGTACTGAAGAAAAAAGGAAGCTTTTTTGTGGTCTTCACCCTAGACAGCCAGCATTTTTAGACACTGCTACTTGGATACTGGGCCCTTCGTCGAAGACGACGCGGGTGTTTGGACACTGTGAGCCCCGTAGAAAAATTAGGGCTTGATATTCTGCCCTCTCTCTTCCAACACGCGCAAAAAAAAAATTGCCATTTATTCTGTTAGGTTTGAATCTTGTCTGTTCAGCAATTCGCTAAATAATATGTCGTAATTGGTCCGTTACTGGTGACAGGTATCCCTGACTGCTGAAGGAGCAGCGTCCGTGTATAGGGGAACGACGCTCAAGATGCGTTGTCCAGGTGTCGTCGTCAATGCTACCACCGATGTCAGGCAAGTGACGAACTTTACAGGCTCGTAAAGGCGGTTTTTCTCAAACTATCCAGTTTTTTTTTTTTTCGCGAAGTATTGAGTTAGCTCGAAACATCGCATGTACAGGGGCTGTGAAAGGTTCCCAGGCCCCGCTTCCATAGGAATACATGGGATAGTGGCCCAGAAACTTTTGACCCCCTCCGTACATATCTAGTAGTGCCTGAGTTGCCAAGTGTAGCTCTGTTTTGTAATTTTCTTAAGCTGTACCAACTAGCCTCAATGAACACGCTGACTTCTTGTTTCGTTCCTTCACCTCACGCCTTGCGCAGCCGAGTGAAGTGGCTGAAGGACGGCGCGCCCGTGAAGGCATCCTCGCGTCGCATCGCCGTCTCGAGAAAGGGGGCGCTGCGGATCCGCAAGATGGACTTCGATGACTCGGGCGTCTACGTCTGCTCGACGGGGACCTCGACGGGGCAGCTCATACTCTCCGTCAAGCCGCTCGCCTCGGAGTCTCCGGCCAAAGGTACTTGCATGTTGGTAACGAATATGCACACTGAAAATGTCTTCAACGTTGTATAGCAGGCGCTGCAAGGACACACCAGCGCACACACAGTGCGTGCTTCAAGAGCTTATTGAAAGCACTCATCATCATCATCATCATCATCATCATCATCATCATCCTGACTACTACTGTATGAGGCCTTTCCCATATTACTCCAAGTATAGCCCTGTCCTGTGCTTGCTACGACCATGTTATCTCTTCCTTCCTTCTTAATCTCATCTTCCCCCTTAATTTCCAGCCTACCCCTCACGAGCTTGCCTTCTATTGGAATCCAGCCTCAAACCTTTAGCTGTCTGGTATTCTCTCTTCTTGCCCGGCTCAGGCCCATCTTTTTTATTAATTTAGACTAAGTTTTTCAATATTTTCTTTAGAGAAAATGAATCTCCACTTTAAATTATTCTAAGAAGTAGTTCCTTCTTGGCTAGATTACGCATCATAACTCCGGGTGTATTCGCTGAAATATATGTCTGCAATACAAGAAAAACACTATGGTGGTTACCGCAGTGGCAAACGTTTCCACAACAGTGATAGCGAGAAACGCTTATCTGTGTCTAATCGTTTTTTTTTTTTTTGAGACACGTGTCTGCTTTCTTGAAGCGCACTAAATGATAAAAAAAATCTTGCAGTGGGAACGTCTAGTTCAACAGTTATGTTGGTCATATACAAGCTTAAATTTAAGAAATTAGAAATTTCACGCATGGTGGTGGTGGTGGGGGTGGTGGTGGTGGTGTCGCAGCAGGCGGGGTTAGCCTGGCCTGCATGGCCGGCAATTGTTCTGCCTGAGCATCTCCTGAATTCGGAAATCGTCACCACGCGTCAGACATCCCAGTGTCTCGCAGGAAGACCCACAAAATTTGTTGCACGTTCCTCCTAGTAGTTGCCGCGGGTCCTTCAGGAAAAATGACGTCATCAACTGTCTGGTGCCTATGACAGCCTCTTTGCAAGGTGCGGATCATCGCTGCTCTTTGCACATCAAACTGTGGGCAAAGCCAAATGAAATGTTCAATATCCCCGATGTCACCACAGAAAGCACAGAACGGGGAATCGTATCTCCCAGTCTTGAATGACCGGGCCGTGGTGTATGCGGAGCCGGTTCTTATGCGGTACAACAGCGTCGCTTGTTCACGAGAAAGTTCATGAATCACACATACTTGGTGTGGAAACATGTAGATCGCCTTGAAATGATTGCGTATCACATCTTTGTTAGAAGTGTTACTTTAGTACAACTCTATGCGTCAAATACCTAGGACGGCAGTGGTACAGCATAATGAAGCCTTTAAAGAGCCATTTTTCGCATAAACAAAGCCACTTTGTGCACGCTCAGAAAAATAAGAGGCATAAGTAGTTACGCTATAGGTGCACTGGCTGCTTAAGTTCACTCTCAAGCTTATGACCATGATAACTTAATACATATTTGTGGACGCCAGGGAGCTGTACAAAAGAATACACACAGTATGAGTGTTTGCCAGCTACGATGTGAGAGGAATCAAGTGGCAAATGAGTGGTGGCGATAAGAGAAGTATGTGCATATTGTGCATCGATGAACTTATAATGCATTTACTGCTTAGCCAGAATCATTCTTTTTACTCGCCCATAGTATCTGATCTGTGACATGAAGAACAATTACAGTGTTTTGCGCACTTTTATTATTAGTGACTGAGCATATTTGCCGAGAAAACAAAGAAATAAATTTTAGTCGTGATTTTAATATTACAACAAATAATTAATTAGTAGTACGTTTGTTGAGGTATCTGAAAATGAAACCCTCTCCAGCTCATCAACAGGGTTGCATTAAAGGTAGCGCTTTTGTGTCGCGTGCGTAAATCTCAATTTACAGGTATCGCAATAACGTAGCATATATGATGCATTGAGCATTACAAGGTAAAAGTGTGGTTTGTAATGCAGTAATGACGTCGTATTTGTCTGCTAGCGTGAACGCGGCTGATAGTTTTGCCAGTGTAGGCGTAATAATATTATGCATGACTATTTAAATAGGTGTGGCTTTCCATTTAAATAGGTGTGGATCAAGAGACGTTCAGTACAAAAGACCTGCGAGGAATTGGCGGGAAACGCCCCAAGGGAGTTGATTTACCCACCTACATTAATGGTGTCGATGACGCCAAGAACAAGAAGGGATCCAAGGTAGGTATTTCCTTTATTGCCGTGATGCGTGTAATGTCGCTTGTGCAATGTGCTAGCTGATATATTTGTTTCCGTGCCTGACCATTCATTCCATTTCAAAGTCGAAAAGCGCATTTTCAACTTTGAACACTCAACACTCGGGTCAGGAACGCCATGTTCTCTCGGAGCGATTGTAGTGTACCGAGAAAAAATGAAGATAGCTATGGAAACCTGAAGCAAATATTTAATGTTACATCTGCTAGTGACATAATACCATCTGCACAGGCAAATAGAAGAAAGTAAAGGACAACGCAGAATACGAAATAAGCAAACTTGGAGACCGTCATAGATGCTCGCGTACATGAGCTAATACCCACCATTGTAAGGCCTCATATACACAGTCTTGCCCTCGCCCATGTGTTAACCACCTCAAATACTTCTAACCACCAGTGAGGTACTAACGAGTTTGCTGTGTGCACTCTTCAAGGCAGTGACAGAGAGCAACGACTCTCTCTGGGACCTTGGAGTGGGTCACGTGCGGTTGACTCTTGCGCTTACGATAGGGGAGCCCCACTGGGACGATCCCCAGCGGGCTCCTTCCTGTGCCCGCGAATACGCCTCCGTTTGCGAGACGAGACACGCGAACGGTATAGGTTTCTGTTTCTAGCAGGAACGAACTCTACTCGCCGGCTGCCCCTGGCGCGGTGAGTCGACCATCGTCGACTCCACAACGCCTTACATTTGCATGCTATTGGTAATGATTCGGCTGTCAGGCTTGCGATGCGAAGAATGTGCAAAGAAATATAAGTGTCTTTTTGTTGGTTTTGCACTGCGGCGATTTGTGAATTTTTTTTTTCTTTTACTTGAGCGCGAGGAACCTCACAAAGCTTCGTTCGCGCAAGTACTCGTCGGGGGAATTTGTTATACCGATGCAAGAACGATTTCTGTGCAGAGAAAAAGCGAACATTTCTTTTTTTTTTTTTTTGGCTGAAACAACTTGCCCCAATGATTTGCAGGTCCGTGAGGGCCAGGCGATCCATGAAGTCAAAGGTACGCTGGAGGACCCAACGGCTCGGTCGGGAGCGGCGAGCCACCACGGCGGCTCCCCCATCCCGAGCATCCAAACGCTGCTCTCTGACTTCCACAAAAGACTCGGTGGAGGAACCAGTAAGCAGGCAAATCGGCTATTAATGTTGCTCTGCCAGGCACAATCCTGCCGCGTGATTATGCCTTACAGTTTGGTACTTAGTGCTCTTTCTATGTGTTCTAAGTATTCTAAAAGCACTGATAAACAGTCACTATTATTTTTTGTTTACCGCTATTGTTAAATGCACACAATCATGTACGAATGAACAAAGATCTTATCATAATTCTGTGCCGTCAACAATGCAAAGCAAACAGAAAAAATGGCAAGGTATATTACGTGTAACTTGTCCTTGTGGCTATTACGGCAAACATTGTTTGCACATCTATAGATACTACAGTGACTGCATACCTTTCACAATAATAATCACTATCTACCTTGCGCACGTTTCCCTATATTCCGTCCTGCATTGCTCACTCTCACGTCATGAATGGCGAGAGCATAATCGCATGACACCTTTTATAGAAAGGCATCGCACGTATTATTTGAAAAAAAAAAACGTATGAATGGCACATCAGACATTTCTTGGTAACTTATTATATGAATACTCCAGGCACACTTTTACCGTCGCCGTCAACGCGATGTTCCGTTTGAAGCCCAAGTACGATAACATCACCCCGCATGTCGTGTTTCTCATATTCGAGTGAAAGTGTACGAGGGCAGCCGACGACCGTAGCTTAAGCGAAGAGAAAACACACCGGAAGTCTTCCGTAGCGCGGACGTCCAACGCAACGTTACTACGTTAGTCCAGCGCTGGAGCGATGTCGCAAGGGTTGGGAGTGGGGAGGGGGTTCACACGGCTGCCGCAGAGACTACCTACATGGAGGGACTGGGTGCGTGCACCCTACGCTGAGAGGGATCAGCAGAAAGATCAGACCTGCTGGGCTCACACCAATCAGCCTTGTCAAAGCGATAGACAGCACGACCGGCATTTTGTTGCGGCCGCGCTTCCTTACGCCACAGGTTTGTTAAGGAACGTCATTTTAAACGATAAAAGTGTTAGCTGCTAGTGTTGCTCGTGTAACAATTTTATTGGTTGCTATAATATTCAATGGTTTTTTTTTTCTGGCGGTCAAAATTAAGTTGCCCAAATGACTAGACTTTTCGATAGTGAGAGGCAAGGCTCAATACACCTTTTAAAGAGTTATCAAAACGGACTCGATGAAGGTCGCAGTTTCGTTTTGTTGTTTTCATTGTATAGAGTACTGCCGATAATGAACAGTCAAAACCTATGGTGGTATCTTTTATAATTCACTGAGCCATGCGCACTTAATACGTCCGATTCAATGGAGCTCGTTAGTAGACAAATGTAAATACCTATAACGTGAACTGTAACCTCATTGTTACATCATCTCGTTTTACACTACTTGAAACTCGCAGACCAAGTGAAGCCAGAGACCCTCGCATCTGAGGATGACGACGACGCTCTAATGCACAACAGCTACGTCCTTGGCCGAGGCAATGCGGACAGCTTGCTGTTCGAGTGGGAGACGACGCCTTGGTCTCTCTGCTCGCAGACTTGCGGAGGTGGCGGATTGCAGGTAAATTGCGGGCACGTACTGAGACCCTACCTTATCGTTGTTGCTAGAGGGTAGTGACCGTAACGTGAGTAGTAGCTAAATTAAACTTCAGGTATTTTTTTTATATCAACACCTAGCAGTTCGTCCAGCTGGAGCACGATAGATGTACCTCACTGCGAATACAGTGAGATCTACTGGAAATCGCCCGTCATACCTATTCAGCTACTAACAGCGAACACCCCCAAGTGGCCACAGCAAGCTTGCTTTGCCACAATATGCATAACTTAGCTGTGAAGCATTACAACATTTGTCAATGCGCAGAGATTGGAAGAAATAGAGGAGGTATGCCAATACTGTGCTACAGATGCAGAAATATTAGGACGAATTACTCCGTATTGATAAAGCAATAACTTTTGGAATAAAAACAGCTATTTGTGTATAAATGAATGTCAAAAAGCTTGGTAGCCTAGCCATGGCTGTATCGTTGGCTAGATATAACATAATGAGAAAAAAGTTCAGGAAAAGATAGTGGCTTGAAGAGATGAACAGTCCCTGAACAGCGGACTTCATTAGAGTGAACGCTTAAACGAGTGGTTCTGTCTTATTCGACGCAGCAACTTCAAGGGAAGATTGCCTGTTGAGTTACCTTTGTGTATATCAACTACTTATTAATCAAAATAAGCAAGCAAAGTTATAAGACCGAAAACTCGCACCACCTTTCCAATGGGAACCCTGATGGGATGCGAAGCAGCAGCGTTGTGTACGGCTGGCGTCACGGGTTGAATCGCGCTAACGCGGGTGTTGAAGATTCGTTTGAAGCGATGGCTGGCGTAGGTATTCTCGTTTCCTCAGAGCGACGGCTGGCTTAGGCCTAATCGCTTCAGTGGATGTTTTGGTGGGCGAAGCAGCGTCGTCTTCCAGCGTCATCTTCACCGCAGATAAGCGAGCCGAAAGAGTTACCACTCGATGTGCGCTCGAGCGCTGCGAGCGCTGGAGAGGGTGCAGTGAGAGAAAGGTCACCCATAAGACATGTTTCAACGCGTACGTTATATAGGCGCGCGCCAGGATTCATTGCGCATGAGCCGGAGAGTCGGCGGTGTAATGAGCGGCGGTCGCGGTAGTAACATATGTTGTGGGTGAACGGACGAGGCGGCAGCTGCGGGCGCTGCGGCGAGCGCGCGGCAGGCAATGGAAAGAATGACATCAGCGCGCACTGAGAGGGGAGCGTGATGTCAACACGCAGATGCGGCGTTGCATACTTGGCACCGCTCCGACACTTGCAGCGAGAGGAGCGCGTTGATGCGCGTTCGTACGGGCACATGGAGGGACAGCATTACACAGGCTTGTCAAAGAGCTGCCTCGCATCTGAAATATACATATATATCTAGGCTTAAAACTGCCTTGGTAACTTCTCCATCGCGCAACGCCGTTGCAACAAAAGCTTCAAAGATTTTTAGTGTGATATCTGTTTGCTGAGGCTAGTATCGTGGATGTGGAATTTCACAATGAGGTATGTTGTCAATGCCTTTACACCACTCATCATTTTAAATGCTGAGCATTTCTTAGTAGCACAATGTCGCACTTTGGCGATGGAGGCGCTGTCCACCCCCCACCCCCCCACCCCCCAGCGGATGCTCGCGTTTCGCATCTCGTGCCGACCTAGGAAGATACCCGCAAATCTGTCGCTCCAGGAGCCATCAAAGGATAAGACACCACCGGGCGTTCAGCAAGCAGAGCATGCGCAGGGGAGGGTCAGACCTCTCCCCCATACTCCACTTTCTCGAACGCGGGTGGTGTGTATATAAGCGGTGGTTTGCACGTTCGGAAGGGCGTCTTTCCTTGGCTTTCGCTTGATTGATGCTTTGCTTGACTCGAGTAGATGCGATGGAAGCAATAGTACCTTCAACCAGTAGTGGGACACAACCCTACATCGGCGTCCCACCACTCGTTGAAGGCAACACTTCTTCTTCGTTCACTAAATAAGAATAACAAAGACGAAATAACCATTAGGCATTCCCAAAGCATACCCAATCGCGCATCGTTCACGTGATGCCCCACCACTCTGCGATGCATTTACTCGAGTTCCCCTCGCAGCAAGATGTGGGCGGATTTTTTTTTCCAGACGTATTATGGTTTACGGTGGCAATTGCGGGGGTTTTACGTGCCGCAGCCATGATCTGATTATGAAGCACACCTTATTTGATGACCCCTGAAATTTCGGCACCAGACAGCACGAAATGCTTGAGGACCTCGTACTGTGTACATAGCAGAGTACCCGGGCTTCTAGCGTTTTGCCTCAATTGAAATGCGACCGCCGCGACCAAAATTGAACCCGTGAACTTCCGGTCCGGACCCGTGCACGGCGACAAATTTACCACCGAGATGAACAATATTAAAATTTATCTTGGTATTGTTGTGAATGAAATGCGGGTACAGAGGCCGCAAATTGCACAAATGATGTCTGTATGTCAGCTGGTTCATACGTTCCGCCACAGGTGCGTGTGGCACAGTGCATGGTCCGCCTGCACAACGTATCAAAGACCGTGGACAACACGCTATGCGTCGATGCCGGCATGGATGCACCGCTGATAATTCAGAGCTGCGGAACAGACAGCTGTCCACGCTGGGTAGCGGGTCTCTGGACGGAGGTGAGTTTCACGATGAAACAGCTACCATGGCTAACCACTCAGTGTGTTTTTTAATTTGTTTTTTACTGAACACGACATCCTTCGCAGAACCTGGTTTCAGTAAGAGCTGTAGCTGGGTGGTGGCATAAAAGGAGGGCCAAAGCAGGCTTAACGTTGCTAGCATGATATATCTTGGACTATTGGTCGCGAGATCGAGCAGAGTCGCCACCTGGCGGCAACTGGCCGAAACGGTGAAGTGTGGATTGCTCCTTGAGTCGTCTGCTAGCCATGTCGTGTTTCTATGTGGACGTACGTCAAGCACGTTCTCAAAGTGTGCTTTGCTCGGTCATGTCAGCGCGAGTGTGACTGTTTTTACGTTTGCCTAAAACGACGTCCGTGATCTATCGATGAAAGATTTCTGTTGAACTCTTATATAAGATTTTTATATTTTTACTGGTGCATGAACATGTGCGTACACGTGGTAAACGCAGTGTAGCGCAAGGTGCCGTCAGTCACTAAGCTTTCCTGACTAGACTTATCGACTGTCCCACATTTTTGGTCAACTGAATGAGAGAAAAAAAAATCACATGCGTATAAGGTGCGAACGGTCACAGGTATGCGGGCATTCTACGATCTTTCTTTCTCTCTTGTTTGTACTATCCAGATGAAAAAAGATGTAAATAAGTAGTTCAGTCACGCTACAGCAGTGCGTAGCAGCCGGAACACAAGCTAACCACGTACAAACAACACAGCAAAGGCTTGATTTAGTGCGAAAGCGTGAACAGAGTCACCCACGGCAAGCATCACTATGAAAGACAGAATGCGCTTTACTCGCGGGTAATGTTAACGTTGCATAAGCTTCGTGCACCGATTCAGTAGAAAAGAGCATATACACATTAGCAGTAAACTGTAGTCAATGCATCTTATTCGCCGACAATCGGCTCAGACCATACACAACGAAGCGCTGTACGTGTATTTGTACGCGCGACGCCAACGGCCTATCCACACTTGCGCGGGACGGTTCTGCCACCTATAGCCCGATCTCGCCGCGTATAGTGTCGCAAATCGCCCGTTTGTCAAGGTGAAATAATTTAGGACGAAATTTTAAAATATTTCATGAAACGCGAAAAGTCCTTGTCGATGGCGTCAACATAAAGTGATTCACAAATACTCATCATGTGAAGACTCCAGCATGACGTCATAGACAATCGAAACTTGTTATGTTATTGTTGATTGATTGATTTGTGAGGTTTAACGTCCCAAAACCTCCATATGATTATGAGAGATGCCGTAGTGGAGGGCTACGGAAATTTCGATCACCTGGGGTTCTTTAACGTGCACCCAAATCTGAGCACACGGGCCTACAACATTTCCGCCTTCATCGGAAATGCAGCCGCCGCAGCCGGGATTCGAACCCGTGACCATTGTTATGTTATTGTGACACCATGATTATGTCGCTAGAAAGTCACACAAGGTGACCTCACCTGATGCCGTCATCACATGACATTGTCGCTAGCTTAAAAAGTCGCCTGATCCCGGAAGCACTGCAAAGCCGCATAAAGTTCTGAACGCTTGCAGTGGCTACGATCTCGGAGGCAGGGCAGAACCACGTAGGGTGCAGCAAGCATGGGTGGGATCAATACCGTCAATTAAAAAAAAAGAACAGCATGGCTTTCACCTTTGAGTCGACTTGAACTAAAGCATCAGGGGCCACGTGGTTCTTTATAACTTTTTTGTCGATGTGACTGAATTGTACTTCCAGAGCTAAACGCTACCGGGATCCTTGTACTAGAGCAAGGAGGTAATGTTTTGTTTGGCGTGCAGTGCACAAAAGGACACTGCCTGGGCCTCAGCCGCGCAGTTCAGGAGCGGCCGGTGAATTGTCGACTGGCCAACGGCACCATCATCGAGGACGATCACTGTGACTTCACAATTAGGCCTCAGGATCAGCAAGAGTGCTTCAGCGACCTCTGCAGAGGAGTCTGGAAGGTCGGCGAGTGGTCCGAGGTAAACAAGCTCTTCAGCGACGTCGATCTTTAAGCGGGTAACAGTGCAGAAACGAGAGATATTTCCGTAGACAGCCGCCGTTTCAATAAGGAGACTTTCGACCAACTCCAACTTGTCCTAGATTAGTTATCATCCGCGATTGACGCAGGTGACAAAAATCATCGACCCTAATACTTTGTGAAAGAATTTGGAAGATTTAAGCACAGAGCTCGTATGATAAGGACTTTTTATGTCACGTGCATGCACATGATTTTCTCACAGTTTAAATAGAATCTCAAATGCGGCGTACATATTGGTGCTTATTATCATTACTGGCGGCTTTATTACTGCCTTCGAGGTGCTAGCAAAAAAAAAAGCGGACGCTTACCGTTCTTGCGTTGAAAGAAGGACCACTGGAAGCTTACTTAAACTGCTAACATGCGGAAGATGAGTTGTAGTTTTTGAAAAACAGCAGTACGCAAAAAAAATCAACGAATCTAGCTCAATACAACGAAATATTCTAACGTATGGTATACACACAGAATGAAATAGAACAATTGAGGGCGAAGTAACGCACATGGTTTTGTATCCGCCGTCTTCAGTTCCAGTTGTATAAGCGTAAACTCGTCTGGAACGCGTAGGTTAGTGCCAACATTTTATTACATACCAGTTTCGCGGCAGCATCACGGGGTTATCTTGAGAAATACTAGCCCTTGCAATAAAATTTATATGTCCCATTTGAATCAGTGAGTACTGTACATGAATGCTATATTTTGCACAAATGAGCTGACATCGTAATAAGGTCATCGCGGCTCAAGTGAACGTAGATGAAGACGACACGTTGTAGCCTTCTTTTATTGCTGAGAGCAGCGTTGCCTTTCTTCAGCCGTGCACAAGTTAGACGCACTCAGTGTAATCTATTCTGTACTCCGTGGAAGGGCGTAGCCGGAAACTTTTTACGGGCGAAGCCCCTCGTGCACGCCATAGGTCATAAGCCCCGTGTCACCGTAGCCGTCGTAGTAGCCAGTTGTATATCGCATGTGAATAAAAACGGTGTCGCAGCATATCCACGGAGTGAATGATGATGAGTGGGGCGAAGCGTCTATCAGTCTGTCCGTGCGTCCGTCCGTGCGTCCGTGAGTCCGTACGTTTCGCCCCACTCGTCATCATTCACCTCGTGGATATGCTGTAATGTTTTTTTGGTGGGGGAGGGCACCAGGGCACCTTTTTGATTTAGGGAGAGGAACCCTCTTGAAATGGCCATTTTTCGCTCTCCATGCTATGTGAAAAACATTTTGGGGACGGGGGGACATGGGCCAGGTGTGCCACCCCCTGGCTACGGCCCTGACTACACTTCACATTATGCGTCGTGGTATGTTGGATTCGACTAGCGCCTGTGTTGCGTCCGTCCATCCGTCATCGTTCGACTTGCAGCGAGTGTACGTGTCGATATAATATTCCCTAAGCTACCGTTCTATATCTCTCCGTCAGCCTTATCATCGCCTTGTTTTTCCAGTGTACAGCGACTTGCGGGGAGAGCGGCTTTCGAACGCGTATTCTGCGCTGCGTGTGGTACGGCACCGACAAGCCCGCCGGGGATTCATGTCGCAATCACGACCGACCAGAGGTGCTCCAAGGCTGCCAGGCTCCACCGTGTGACGCAGCCAGTGAGTGAAACCCATCACTTCGCCGGATGAGCCACCGTACCATGTATCGAGAGTTGCGTAAAGGGAGCAAAAGAATAGCGGACATACTGAAACAGTTACTCCTTTTAAAGGATACTTAACAGAAATGCCTCAATTCACGCCATTGATGAAGCATCTTTTAGTGTTATATTGCCGTTATTTCACTGTCATACGATGGATAAAAAAAGGAAAATGATAAAGCCTTTCTTTTCTTTCATATTTGGCGCAATAACCTTCAGGTAGGACTTCTTATAGGCTCTAGTTGAAAAAAACTTAAACAGGGTGTGTATGTTAAGGCGAGCGTTTTGAGAGGCGGACTTGTCTACTTTATGACTGCAAATAAGACAACTCCGTTTTTCGAAACGACAGCCCTTGCAGAAAAGCTGTGTAAGACTTTCTCTTCTTCCCAAGCTTCTATTTCCTCCTGAATCCTGCCTTTATTCGGATTATTAGGCTCCGGTGAGACAACAATGGCTGCAATAACTTAGGAAATGTGACTCGACTGACGGTAATCGAAAAATAAGGCCTATATAACTGATGATGATAATGATGATGATGATGATATGTGAGGTTTATTGTCCTAAAAGCACCATGTGATTATGAAAGACGCCGTAGTGGAGGGCTCCGGAAATTTCGACCACCTCAGGCTCTTTAACGTGCACACAAATATGAGCACACGGGCCTCAGCTTTTTTGCCTCCATCGAAAATGCAGCCGCCGCAGCCGGGATTCGATCCCGCGACCTGCGGGTCAGCAGCTGAGTACCTTAGCCACTAGACTACCGTGGTGGCGCGCCTACGTAACTGAGAAATATATCTCTGAAAGTAGCGGATATCACTTTCAATGCAAATGCACGTAGCCGCATATATTTTCCAAACCCTAAATGCAAATGGGCTAAATCGCGTTGTCACCTTGTTTCCTTGTTGTTTTTTAGTCCGGGCACTGATTTGGTGTGTCACATGATGGAAGGCTTGACGAATGCGTTAGGAGCCTCTGTGAGCGTTCGAAAATGGAGCAATATACATTTGGAACTAGCGATGCCTCTCGCATGAATAAGCCGTCAATGGTTTCTTTCTTTCAAGAGTGCGCTTGTGATCGTGTACCACTGGCCTCTGACTTAACTGTTCTTCCCTTTTCATCCCGTGTTCTTCCTCCCACCCTTCACAAGCAGGACAAAACTGCGAAGATCACTCGCGCAACTGCCAAATGATCCGCCAGTTTCGCATGTGTCACATGAAGAACTACCACGATCTTTGTTGCGCCACCTGTGAGCGCAGCTAGAAGCTTCTCCTTCTGCCGGTCCCCATCTCTGGACGACTGCCACGCATGGATGGCTGACCCACTGCGCCAGCCATCCTGGTCCAGACGAAGAAGCAGTTGTCCAAAACGTCGCCGCTAGACACCGCTTGGTGAACCACCGAGACCAACAGTAGCGGCAATGTCTTCGTCGCGTATGTCTGATTTTGTTTTGTTGGTCGAGCTGATCACCGACAGATGACGATGAGATCAGCTGAGGTGTATGTTGCGTTGGTGTGGCGATGTTTCGTGGAAGGGTTTTCCCAGTGTGTTTTTCCTGCGATAAGTTGTGTAGGATGTGTCGCAGTCAGTGTACAGGTTTCAGAACGCGGTTTATGCAGCCAGCGGTACGAGACAGCGATGAAACGCGCAGTATAAACTGTTGGGGCGAAGGATCTCGTGTCATTGCTTTTCTGGCCGGCACGCGCGGATGACGTGGTGATGACGCAATGCCCGAAATTATGATTGACACATGGGTCTTCACTCCCCTCTGTGCACTCTACACCGTCTCGCCGTGATTGAGCTGAAGGAGAGATTCTACGGCGCAGTGTGCCACTTTTGCTGCACCGTGCTGTAGACAGTGACACGTTTCGCACCGAATAAGTATACCGTTGTTCACCTTGTAGCAATGTTAGTGTCACAAGCTGAAAAAAAAAGTGTTGTCAAAAGCGAGTAAAAAAAAAGGTTTTCAAGTACTTGATAGAACCAGAACGTTGACATACTCAGGTAATTCGGGCATATTCTGAAAGACATCTCCAGGGAAAATCAGGTCCCAAGGCTTTCTTATAACTGGACATCTTACACACATTGAATCAAAAGTTGTTTCGTTTAGTTATAGTCAGCAGCCTACACAAAATGCTACGCGCAATTCGTAAGATGTCCCGAACCAGCTAGGCGTGCTTACCGGGTTCACACAACTACATCAGCTGAATTTTTTTTTGATCGAGAGCGTACTTTCAATATTGTCTAAATTTCGGCATTCCTGCTTTCTGGTGATATGTTTGAGTTGAAAATGTTGTAAGGGGCAAGCACCTACCGTTATGAACTTGGGAGTATCATTAAGACTAAGCGTTTAAAAACATGCGTGCAGTCGACCTTGCCCTTGCTTTGTGGTGCCGGTTTATAATTTGCCACGTAATATCAATGCGGCGAAACTGTGACACGTGCATTGTCTTTAAGAAAAGCACTCTGAAAACTTATTTTCAGTTTACTTTCACTACTTTCGGGGCAGAAGTCAATGATTAAACCGTATAAAGTAGTCCGATATCTAGAGAAAGCAAGATGACGAAATATGAAAGGGATACTCGGTCTGGTCGTTGCGTGTACTACCACACCTATGGTTATCGTCTGGAATGGCACAGTACGTGCTATTCCTTAAACCTGTAGTAAGAGTGCAATGCGGAATTCTTTTTGTTTTCTTTATTTTTTCAAACTACTACCCCCTCTTTGTTAGATAGACGGCCAGAAAAACTGAAATTTATGCCCACCTCGCGAGATAACTTGCTGAAATTACTTGAGGATGAAGCAAAATCTGAAAAAATTGTTGATAGTGTTTTACTTCACGTCGCTCAAGTCATTCTAATTACACGTAATAGTTTAATTATTTTGGTGCAATTTGTGCGCGAATTGCAAGAATTATACGCTCGCTAAGTCCTCGTCACTTTATTATCCACGATAAAAAAAAGTGGATGTGTGGGATCGCCTACAAAACTTTGAGTGACGACTAATCGCATTCACATGTTAATAGAAGTTGTCAGTGCTGCGTGTGTTTGTGCCATAGGCAAACCTGTATTGTGTTTTATGTAGAAATCATTGCTGTATTACACAACCTACGTGAAAAAAAGTTATATATTTTTGTTCATATATATCCACTGTCATAACATTCCCTGGAAAAGAGTGCATTCAAGTCACTTAATGAAACTATAATCTGAAATCTGATGACACGCTAACATTCCGATCACTGGTCGTTGTCCTTGGTTTTCATCGTTTGCAGATGTTTATCCTATAAGTGAAAATGTTATGTCAGGACAACTTTTTTGTGTGTTCTTAATGGGCGCCTAGCTTAACAGCGTTTTAGCTTGGAAACCCTGGTGAACATGATTCTGCACAAGTTAGATCGCATGCATTTCCTGAAACATGTCACTCAACACTTGAAAAAGTCGTCACTTCAGAGCTAACTATGTTTTAGTTATGCTATCGCGTCCAAACTAAACATGGCGCAATGCAATCGCACACACTGAAAACAAACCTTGCATTGCAATAATAACTTGTTTTGTTCTGTATAAAGTGATTTTAGATTATTTCTATGTGTTCTCGAATAGCGCGTGTCATATATTGTACTATAGCGTATAGCACCACTTTCAAAAGAAAATCGCTACTTCTGTTCAAAAAACTAGTGTTCAATTTTGCATACTTGTATGTTTGTTGAATGTTGCGTCCGTCTGAGGTGGCAGTATATACTCCTCGAGATGAAAACGGGTTCATACGACATGAAGACATTTCGAGTTGTTGTGTTCGCTTCAGTGCATTTTTGTGTGTTGATACCATGCATCCTGTTTTGATCATTCTGACGTTCTCTCTGCATTCTGCTTTGATCTCGTCATTTTCTTTTTTTTTCTTCGTACGCACAAACAAGGTGAAGCTCTCGCAAACATAAATGCATTTTTTTTTATTTTCGCATTAAAAAAGTACAAATGCGTTGAAGTTAACCTGGCTGACTTTGCAGTATTCATCAGTTCAAACGCATCCTGCAAATTATGGCATTAAAAATAAATAATTTTAACGCTGATAAAGTATTTTACTTGCCCACTAACTCACCTTAATTCATTGACTTATGATCAAAATACTTCTCTATATTATATTCGCCCAGTTAAAAGATATTTCCTTCATTGCAATACCGCACATGTATTTTTTTCTTCAGAGCAGTTAAGACATATCTTCATTGTTTACGTAAATTACTTTGTTGGATACCTTTTAAGCGCTTTTCGAACGTTTTGTTTCTTGATCGCATACGTGGACAGTTGTTTTCCTCGCAACTTAATACGTTTTTGAAAATTACGTGCATGGTTCGCACTTCAAATAACTGTAAAATGCGATGTGCACGGGGACTACGTGGTAGTTACTTGCCTCGAGGGTGTTTCTCCGACTCTGAACTACGCAGTCAGTCTAAAACTGAGCAAATGATTACAACACTGACGCTCTGCCACAGTTATTTCGCCCGAACGAATGTTCTCCGTACCCAGCTAACGCGTGTTTCAACGCAAGAATTAATTCAGCATGAAATGGCTGTATTGTTTCTCTTCCCGGGCCAGGCACACTTGTAACGATCTTAAAAAAATGTGGGGGCGAAAAAAAATCAACTGTTATTGCGAGAATACCTCTGCGGGTGAACGCTCGGTTGGCTCATAGAATTTAATCTCCCACAAAAAAAATACACACTTACTGAGAACAAATCTGTGCGGTGCCCATCTGCGTGCGCCAGTTGTGCGTTCATTTTGTACCCTATCTCTTTATACATAACTTTAGATCGCCATAGATTAAGGTGCCTCACAAGGTTGTGTCAGTTTCTAGGAATGCGAGCTCCGTGAATATATAAAGCTGGCTCTTGCATAAATAAGCACATTTGCATGTGTTTTCGCAGATGCTAAGTTAAGAACTTTGTCGCATCGTAAGCCCACTTGTTTGTGTCTTCGTTCACTGGGGTCGCCTGTGCTGTTCACTGTGAAAATGATGAAGTTCAAAGCGCAAAATATTTTCTTTCAGTCTGGTATTCCCCGTAAAAAAACTAATACGTGACAAAAACCACGGCACGCTGAGTGGCGTGTCTATTAAAATGGAAAGGTGTATGCATATTATCAAAACAATGATAGATGCTTCGAGTAATCAATCGTGTTTGTTCAGTGGTTAATACTTCTTTGCTTTGACTCAACTGCTTCGCCCTATATGCTCTAATCCGGTGAACTCATAAAAGCTGCCTCACGTTGCATTTCTAGTGTACCACATTCCTGCACTTCTTTTTTGGTGATGCGCGATAATCGTTTAATTTCTTACCCGTAAATAATTTGGCGTTTAATACACTTCTGAAAGAGCTACAGCATAGTAATATAACATCTCTTGACATTAACACACATTACATTGCTCCGTCAATTCACTTTGTGTTGATTAAATCTACGGTCACCTAGCCTTCGGTCATGTTACGGATAAATGCGCTAAATAATGAACTCTGATCTCGCGTTCAAGTGGACATACAAATGAATTGAAAGGAGGGCTTTTGTTTGGCTTCATGACTACATTTTTTCAGTAGAAAGGCATCCACATTATGGCCTCACGGGGCAAAAAGAAAGAAGTACTTACCCTATGGTGTTTCATTAGGAAAACAAAACAAACAAGAATGTTTGTGTAGGTGGGCGTGCATGGAATAGAAAAAGCTGCCGAGACGCACTCGAATACTTGTTCAATGTTCCTTAAGTGGGCTAGTTTGATAGATATATGTGGTTTAACGTCCGAAAACTACCATATGATTATGAGAGACGCCGTAGTGGAGGGCTCCGGAAGCTTTGACCACCTGGGGTTCTTAAACGTGTAAGTGGGCTAGTTTGTTCATAAACAGTGTGGTGGAGGAGCGTGGAAAAGCGGGGCGAGAAACATGCGGGACCCTCGGAAGTTTTGACGCCACCATATGCAGCGAGAAAGAAGCGTTTGCTAAAATATGAAGGATGACAAAGTGTGCGACCGATGTAGTACGTGACCAGTGTGACGTCGTCTTCAATAAAGGAAGTAAATATGTTGTGCTGGTACACTCCGAGTAGTACTGGCCAGTATTAGCTTGTCGTCCTGCATATGGCTCACGTAACTTCACTGGAATGTGAGCCCTTATCTTCAAGTTCAGTCTTTCATACCGAGTCGTGATAGTTGCGTGGAGAGAAGAAAAGTGGTAGATGATAAGCAGCAATGGTGGTGTCTCAGCATTTTGAAGATTATCGTATATATGATGATCATATATAAGATGATCTTCGAAATTAACCGATGCCCATACCTAGGGAAACGAGTAGCTTCTATATCCCTTAAAAAACTAGTTACCTAACATTTATTTGCAATAAGCAAGGAATCATTTTTAGGAAATGGAGTAAGGCGGCGATAAAAACATTCCGTTTAGATGTTCACTGCGCAGCTGAGTGCGTCTTGACCACAAAGATATACTTTTCACGGTGTCCGTTCGATATTAAAACATGCTAATATTTTATTTGTATTTGACTATAGTAAACTGCAGGTTAGACGTGCAGGGTGCGGCCCGTTCGAGGCATCTGCGAAGTGAGACAGGGTACACATATCATTTTCGTTTTACGGGCACCTATTTTAGCGCGAAGGTAACACAGGCGCTCTCGACCGCTCAGCGCAGCTTTAGCAACGATTTGTGTCGGCATTATTCGCGCACTTGTATCAGCGTTATTTGTTCTCTGCTATTTTAAATGCGTTGCAGAATTGACATACAGAACCGTAGACGCGAAAATATTGTGGGGTGTCCCGAAAACTCGGTCACGCATCAGCCGGTTTGCACTAAGTGTGCCCAGGATGGCAAGCCCGAAGAAATGAATGTTGACAACTTGATCAAAATTAACTGTAAATTTTGTTTTAATTTCTGGCGTGTGGGGGTGACTGTAGGTGTGGTATCTATTATAGAACGATTATTAGTTCTATTTTTCATTGCGTGGTCCATGCATCTTACTCTGCAAACAGTATGGTCATCTTGCCATTCAACGTGTTGTGACTGTTGGTTGTCCTAAATGTTACTTAGTGGAAATTCGGGCGACGAGGAACGAATGAAATTGCTCGTTGGAATGCTTCAAAGATATTCGACTGACTACGTATCGTAAAGTATATACCTTTGGTCGTTAGCCCGGAACGTCG